ATCTGAATATTATTTGAGTAGCAGGTTAGTGCACTGAACGCCGTAACACCATGTTTGGTCAGAAATGAGTTCATGTCATTTTGATTTTATTTGAGACCTTCTTTATCACGTGACTAAACATCGTGAAAAATATTGACCTTTGACCCTTATTTGTCAGTTGCTGTTTTCTGCTTTTGTATCATGAGCATAAAATACGTTTTCGTGCAAAGACAAAAGGCAAAAACTGTGTGTTTAGTTTGTGATTTAGTTCATAAATAAATATATTTTATTTTCAAATCCTCTCGCCTCTGGCCTCGGCTCAGGGTCTTAACCAAACCCCCAGGTCCCATTCAAGTCAACGGGCCGAGCTCAATGTCTCATGAGCGGCAGTAGCTCAGTTGGTGGAGCATTTGCCAACTGATCTGGAAGTTGGAGGTTCAATTCCAGCTCTCGACATAAACATCACAGGTTGAGTGTTCAGATCCACTGACCCACAGGTTGCTGGTGTGATTCCAGCTCCCACAGATGAATGCTGCCGTTGTGTCCTTGGGCAGGACACTTAACCCACCTTGCCCACAGTGTCTGCGTACACTGGTGTGTGAATGTGTGTGTGAATGGGTGAGTGGTTCCTTGAAGGTGGAAAAGCGCTATAGAAAATGTGACCATTTACCACAGGGGTGTCCAAACTTTTTTCATCAAGGGCCACATTTCTAAACACAGACGAAGCAGAGGGCCGATCGAGGGCCATAGACTGGTGCTCAATACAGTGAAAAATTGAAATATGTGCATGTTTAACACTTTGTTATGAGCCATCAGTCTTTATTCACTCTAAAATCCCCAAAGCCACACATTAAATCTTCAATATTTGCTTTATCAAAGTAGATTTTCAAAAAAAACTTTGTGTAAAAAGTTCATTTTCAATTGATGCAAGGTAATTTGGGCCAAATCACCTGGAAGCCTGAGGGCCAAGAAAAACTTGTTGGAGGGCCGCATTTGGCCCACGGGCCGCAGTTTGGACATGCCTGATTTACCATGATTCCAGATTCACCTTTAGCCCGGTGAGGTTCTTCCGGTGTCTGTGGGCCGACCGAGCATGTGCAGTAGTGTCTTTTCTCACACGGGCACACGCCAATGCACGCGAAAACACGCTCATGTATCATGTGATCGCTTTGACCAATCAGAGCGAGAGGAGCAGAGCAAATGGTAAAACAGGTAACATTTTTCTATAGCGCTTTTCCACCTTCAAGGCACTCAAAGCGCTTTACAACAAGGAACCACTCACATTCACACATTCACACACACATTCACACAGACACTGTGGGCAAGGTGGGTTAAGTGTCTTGCCCAAGGACACAACAACAGCAGCAGCAGCATTCATCTGTGGGAACTGGAATCACACCAGCCAACCTGTGGTTCAGTGGATCTGAACACTCAACCTGTGATGTTTACGTCAAGAGCTGGAATCGAACCGCCAACCTTCAGATCAGTGGACAACTGAGCTACAACGCGTTTTTTTAAAACAACTGAAGGATTTTGAGCTGAGAAAAAGTCTATGATCTAAAAATAGGTAAAAAATCGCCAACAAATCCAACATTTTTGAAAATTGTCGGTCCCTGTCAGACGAACACGAGCAGTTTGTGATCACATTGCCTCTATGAGAAAAATCTTGTCTCGGCCCAGGGGATTTTTTCTGCTAAAGTTCCAGTGACACAACGTCAACTGGAGGCAGATACAAGCAACAAGACTGTCTCCAGTTATTTTAATAGATCCAGGGTCTTAACACATTCAGTAAATAAACCTTTGTATTCAGTTATACTTCAGTTATCTTTAATGTGAACACCATGACGACTCGACTTTGGTGAGGTGTTTTTCTTATAATGGACAGAAATCTAGGAAAGATCAACCAAATAATAATGATCACGTTAGATTCTGCCTTTGGCCTTTGCACGTAAACGTATTTTTGTCTCATGATACAAACGCAGAGAACAGGAACTGACAAATAAAAAGCTCAATATTTTTCACATACAAATATTTCTTTATTATCGCGACTGTTTGTCAAATTTTGGGAGCTTTGCCTATTGTACTTTTGTCTACTTCAAAGTTTCTGTTTTGTAGTAATTTTGGGAATTCAAAAATACACTGTACTGGTGTTTACGTCATTGCGTCATTCTTAATTTATGCAGAGCGGGAATTGCGCCGTCAACTTTTTACATGTTTTATGACCCCTGGTGGTTGGTGGGAACGCATTTCTACTGAAACGTTTTGGAATTTCAGCATGAATTTTGGAATAAAACAAAAAGAATAAAAGAACTTTAAGGGTCCTAGCACTGTCCCTTGTGGTCTCCCGGAATTAATAAAGGAAATCTGAAGGAAATTAAGGATTATAACAAGAGATCTACACAAACAAAACTGAAATATTTAATTATACAGTAAGCAGTTTAAGATGAAGTACAGTTTTGAAGTAGTTTTGTTACTTAAGTAAAAGTACAGATCATGGGCAAAAGATAACTCAAGTAAAAGTAAAAGTATCACATGAAAAAAATAGAAGCAAAGTGTGATCTTTTTGAACAATTAAAGCATCAAATATATTGATTTTGATCATAACTTTAGCTGATTTTAAGTGATTCGAGTGATTTCTTAAATTATGTCGCCGTTTTTGTGTATTTTGTTTGCTTGAAGTTGCAACATTAACTCAAATTAAACTTGAACAGAAACTTTGAAGTCATTTTTCCGTTTCACACTCTGGAGAGTTAAAGTCTAACAGGTCTCTGGGGTAAAGGGGGAGCGCTGTATTGTGGTCGTGGTACAAACCTTGAGCCGGCAGTAGAGGGTGGTGAGCACGAGTCCGTACAGGAAGAGGATGCCATCCAGAACGTAACAGATCTGAGGTTCATGAAGACCGGCAGCTGCAAAAAAAAAAAACAAAAAAATCCCACACAACAAAATTAATATAATATACAGAGGCTTAAAATTCAGACTGATAACAACTATGCAGGTTTTATTTAAAGGATTTTCCTAATAAATGTATAAAAAACATTATAATAAGATGCATTTTTTGACGTTATGTTGTAAATTATTATGTTTTTTTTTCTTATTTTCAATTACATCATGTACAGTTTGGTAAAATAACTCCGTTCTCTAGTTGTTTTTTTTAGAATTTTTTAATTAACATTTATATTTTTGCTCTGTTATTATGTTGTTATTTGTGATGAATAATGTTCGTTTAAATCTAAGAGTTTCTAATAGTTACCAAAACTAAAACTGAGCAAGTGTCACGGTTTACTTATTTATTGTTAAAATGTATAAAGTGCAAATATAAATGTATGTATATTGTTTAAAAAAGTATAAAATGTAAATGTAAACGCAAATGTTTTGTCAAAAATGTATAAAATGTAACTATAAATTAATATATATTGTTAAAAATGTATAAAATGTAAATGTATTGTTAAAATGTATAAAATCTAAATGCAAATGTATTGTTAAATTGTATAAAATGTAAAAATAAATGCATATATGTATGGTTAAAAATGTATAAAATGTAAATCTAAATGTATATGTATTGTTAAAAATGTACAAAATATACAAAATGTAAATGTATTGTTAAAAATGTATAAAATATAAATAGAAATCATGAGAATAAAATAAAAATTTCCCAGTAAGTGTGTTTCTTAAGATTCATACACTGTATATTTATACATTTTATAGATTTATATTTGCATGTCACACGTGTCTCTTGTGCTTTTTTGTTAGTTATTTAAAATTATTATTACCATTTATGTTTTTACTCTTTGTTATTATATTTTATTGTGATTTGTGAGCTCCTGTGTCCAAATAATTTCCCTTTTGGATCAATAAAGTTTGTCTAAGTCTAATATTTAATGCCGGAAATACAGCGTCATAACTCTGATTCTACACTGTACTGGTGTTTACATCATTGCGTCATTCTTAATTTATGCAGAGTGGGAATTGCACCATCAACTTTTTACGTGTGTTATGACCCTGGTGGTTGGTGGGAACGCATCTCTGCTTAAACGTTTTGGAATTTCAGCGGGAATTTTGGAATAAAACAAAAAGAATAAAAGAACTTTAAGGGTCCTAGCACTGTCCCTTGTGGCCTCCCGGAATTAATAAAGCAAAGGAAGGAAATTAAGGATTATAACAAGAGATCTGCGCAAACAAAACTGAAATATTTAGTTGTAGATGAAGTACTGAAGTAGTTTTGTTACTTAAGTAAAAGTACACATACACGGGCAAAAGATTACTAAAGTAAAAGTATCATGTGAAAAAATCAACTTGAGTAAAAATATTGAAGCAAAGAGTGATTTTTTTTGAACATTTAAAGCATCAAATGTGGTGATTTTGATCAAAACTTTAGCTGATTTTGAGTAATTCGAGTGATTTCTTAAATTACGTCACTGTTTTTGTGTATTTCGTTTGCTTAAAAATCAAATTAAATGTGTTAAAAAGAAGTCAGAAGGTCTCAAACGATGAACGTTTCAGTCCTGATCTAAAATGTAGTGGAGTACAAAGTACAAATACCCGTTTTTAAATGTAGTTTAATAAAAGTAAAAAGTATCTACTGTAAAACGTACTTAAGTAAAACACATGTATCTAAAAATTCTGACGGTAAAAGAGACTAAGCAATGCAGAACTACAACAAGAGAAGTGGTTATTTAAGACAAAGATTAAATCGACTTTGTTTTTTTTGATGCCCTTAAGCACCAAAAAATAAGGAACTAGTAGGATAGCAACTTCACACTAACAAAAACAAATACGGAACATTTTTTAAAATACTCCCACGCAAATGTATTAATAGATTTTTGGGAATTTACACGTGTTAAGAAACAATTTCGTGCTAAAATAGACTTCGCCAGCACTTAAAATGTTCCTGTAAGATCCAAAAATACAACTTGTTATGTATTTGGTTGCGTAAATTTTGAAATGTATATCTGTGGGTTTCAGAATGATAAAAGATTAGGATCGTTTTCATCACAACACTCACCATCTTTACAAAAAAAAAAAAAAACATGAAAATTCACTTGTTGATCTGTGTGAAGCGTCTTTTAGTGTCATGAAAAGTACAAGTTTCTCCCTATATTACAGAAACGAGCTTTGCGAATTATCCATCAAGTTGGATTTTTAGAACACACCCATAATCTTTTTATTTATTTATTCAGTATTTTCCCAAGTAAGTCCGTTGAAAAAACCTTTGCATTTACAATAACGACGCGACCAAGAGGCAAATAAAACAAAAGCGCAAACAGAAAACACTCAAACATCAACTATAACATGAAACAGTGAATAGAGACATAAGAAACAAATGCAGATTAAAGATGTAAAAGTGTTAAAAACATGTTTGTGTTTTTAAGAATCCCTCAGTCGTCCAGGTAGAATCCGTGTCGAGGAGAAAATTCAGTGAAGCAGCAGTTTGGATGAGCTGCGAAACGTCTTCAACCAAACTAACTTTTGTCCAGTCGACAAACTGAATTTTCTCCTCGACATAAAAACACGTTTTAGTTTTATTTATTTAAAAAGGGACAACGCATTTTCATGAACAAACACTTGTAAATACCTGTTGTCCCTGTCAGGTCAGAGAGATCGAGACATAAGAACATAAAACACAAAACATGTCACAATAGAAAAACACACAAACATGACACACAACACTGACTTTTACACAGGAGCAGAACACTAGTGCTCACAGATCTGGTTTCTCTTAAGACAGAGGTGTCAAACAGATCCGGCCCTCCAAGACCTTTAACCTGGCCCTCGGCTGATTTTCTACTCAAATATTTTAATTATATTTTCTATTAAAATCTTGTTAATTTTCTGTGGTGTTTATCACAGCAGCGTCTCCAGCGTCTCTGTACGTGGCCCCTCCCACCAGAGCAGCACAAATGAAGACTTGTCTCTTTCCAAACGCTCTTAAAGGACGATCGTTTTGACTGTTGACCGTGACACCCTCATCAGAAAAATGTCCAACATGAGAAAAGTGGAGCCAAGAAAAACTGACTTATTCCTGTTTACAGACAAGTTCATGTTAAAACTTTGTGTTGAAATTGCATTTTTCTTAAAGTTTCAAGTTGTTCTTAATATTATAATATTTTGTAAAAGAAAGAGTTCATCAATTAAAAAAGATTTCTGTAGTAGATTTGTGTTTCTCTGCACAAATATTTGAACTTATTGTTATTTTTGGGGTTTATATGACATGAGTTTTCTGATCCGGACACTTTGGGATCAAAGTCGGTTGGACACGACCCCCGGAACAAAATGAGTTTGACACCACTGACTTAAGCTGTCGTTTCAGATTAGTTTTAAATGTTCTGAATGTGGTGGAGTCTCTTACTGCAGCTGGATGTTGTTTTAGATTTCTGTTCCTTGACTGATCGCACCTGCAGACTGAATGTTGTGCGTCTATAAAGTGTCACACAGTCGCCTCTGGTCGACGCTCTTTGTTCCTCGACCACTAGAGCTGGACTTGGGCTTGATGAACTCACCCAGAGGTGCTGCAGCGACTTCATTTAAGACATTATACACTGAGCAGGTGAATTTACATTTCTGAAACTTTCCAAAACTTAAGATATCATACTTCTGAAGTATGAGACAGTGATGAAAAGATAAAGATTTCCTGTCAAACATCTTTAAAGCTGTGAGAAAATCCTGCTGTGGAGAAACATTTCAGCTGCATTTTCTGACAATGATGATCTAATTTGCCTAAAGTTGTGAATATTACATGTTTTTTAAAAGTTAAAGTGGAGTCCAAGGTAAACACCAAGACACTTGAATTCATTAAATGTGCAATGATCCTGTAAAATACTCTGGATGGAGTTTTTTTTTTTTTTTATTGATTATTTTGTTGTTCATCTTGTTGTATTCTGTGATTATCTTTGAACTCTATTAAAAAAAAAATTTTATTATTATTTTATTTATTTTTTTCAAATTTGTTTTATTATGTGTCAAACAGTCAAGTGTGAGTGAGTGTGTGTTATTTATGAGGACCCCCTTGAAAACGAGATGGCGAAACATCTCAAGGGGCTTATCTTCTAAACAAATAAATTCAAATAAATTCAAATTTTAAAAAGCTACAGAGGTAAAAACGAACTAAGTTTTAAAGTGTGTTGTGATGACTCGAGATTGGTGACGTGTTTTTCTTATAATGGACGGAAGTCTGGGGGAAAAAAAAATAAAATCAACCAAATAATAATGATCATATCAGTTTCTGCCTTTGGCCTTTGCACAAAAACTTATTTTTGGCTCATGATACAGACACAGAACAGGAACTGACAAATAAAAAGGGACAAACTCAGCATTTTTCACATAAAAATATTTCTTCATTATAGCGACTACTTGTGAAATTTTGGGAGCCCGACCTATTCTACTTCTGTCTGGACAGAACAGAAACTTTCAAGTCATTTTTCTCTCCGTTGTGATCTCCAGAATTAATAAAGAAAATTTAAGGGAATTCAGAAACTCTGCACCGATGTTTACGTCATTACGTCATTCTTAATTAATGCAGAGTGGGAATTGCACCGTCAACTTTTTACGTGTGTTATGACCCCTGGTGGTTGGTGGGAACGCATCTCTACTTAAACATTTTGGAATTTCAGCGGGAATTTTGGAATAAAACAAAAAGAATAAAAGAACATTAAAGGTCCTAGCACTGTCCCTTGTGGTCTCCCGGAATTAATGAAGGAAATCTGAAGGAAATTAAGGATTATAACAAGAGATCTGCACAAACAAAGCTGAAATCTTAATGACGCAATGACGTAAACACCGGTAGTGTTTACGTCATTGCGTCATTCAAAATGTTCAAATGTTCAAAATGTACATTTCTTACTTGCCCAAAATAAAAACATAAATCAAGTATCAAGTATTATTGTTAAAATATCAAATCTTTTGAATGCGAAAAAAGTCCGTACTGTTGGGTCTAAAGCTTTTAAATTTGGATACTGATGATGTTTTTGCTTTATTTTTTCGTCATCAAAATGTTCACGTTTACGTTTGACAGCAGCACGTCTTTTTGAGTCTAAGAAATTAACACTCTCGGGATCTAGTTTACATTCATGGTTTACAAATTTTAACTTAAAATTTCAAAATGGTGATAGGTTATGTCCACAAAAAACAGCATTTAACTTTTTTTGAGTTATGACAGTTTTTTGGTTGAGAATATTCCACTACACTAACAAAAAAATTCTGGAATCACAGCTTTTACAAAAAAAAAAAAAAAGTCCTTCGTGTTGGGTCTAGTTCTTAAAATTTTATATTGGTGATGTTTTTGCTTTATTTTTTGTCGTCAAAATGTTCACATTTACATTTGACACCAGCACGTCTTTTTTGAATCCAAGAAATTGACCTTCTCAGAATCTAGTTTACCAATCCTGAGTGTTTAAATTATAGCCCGACCGATATATCGGTTGGCCGATATTATCGGCTAATATGGGCAACTTTAGGCATATCGGCTATCGGCCGATATGCTTGCTGATAGGGGCCGATATTTCACGTGGGCATGTTATACCTCGTTATAAAGCTTAGACTCTCTACATTCTGTTCATTTAATCCAATTTACAGACAGATAAATGTCCTAATATGTGGCTCCACATCAGTATTTATCTACGGAGTCATTTGTGTGTGTCTGTGTCCGTACTGTCCCTGAACACACCACAGAGTCGCGTCACTCACGTGTGTTTGTTTACACCTGCAGACACAGATCCAAACACTGAGATTATTTTCTTTTTACGGACAATCGGTTTGAGTCTGGATTAAAAGGACATTTATTAGTGCAGATTTGTGATGTGGGAGGAGCCTGTGTGAGCGGTGAGTGTTGGAAATATGTCGACTCTGAAGCTAGTTTTTGTCATTTGTTATGGGTTAGCTGCTGTAGCCAAAAGAACCAGCAGCTTTTAGTGAGCCGAGCCAAAAGAGCCGGTTCTCTAAAAAGAACTGGAATACCCATCACTAGTGTCTAGAATGTGATGCAAAAATGCCATTAAGTCAACCTACTGTCTGTAAATATGATGTAAAGAGGCAGAATAACAATACATGTTGCCTAAATAAACCCAATTTAAAATCCACCAGAGCCAAACCTAAGTTTTTTAAACAATTCAACATTTACAGTGAATTTTTACATCACTAAATATATCGGCGATTATATCGGCTATCTGCAGCTCCAACTCCCATTATATCGGTTTCATATCGGCCACAGCAAAATCCATATCGGTCGGGCTCTACTTCTCAGAATCTAGTTTACAATCCTGAGTGTTTAAATGTTTGGAAAATTTAACTTTAAATTTCAAAACTCTGGAGAAATGAACAACTTGAGAAAGCAAAAAGATGATTTCTCATTTCTATTTGACAACGATGACCGTACATAGAGTAGATGCAGTTGTAGTTTCAGACTTTTGAGGCGTGGCACACAACAAAAATTTGACCAAATTACAAAAAAGTAACAAAACAAAACAAAAAAACTGCCCTGGTTTGCGGTTCTTTCTGTTTGGCACAGTTTTTTGCAATTTTGTAACCACATTTTCGTCGTGTGCCAGGCAAAAGTTTGATAAATACTTCATTGTTGAATAGAAACAAACACAAACCATGAAAATTATGCTCTTTTTGCGTTCTCAAGTTAAAATTTTTTCCACAAAGCTTCTCGGCAAGTTTAAAATTTCAAAACAATAACACTCACGTTGTAAACTTGATTCTGACAGCGACAATTCCTTAGGTCTAAAAAGACGTGCTGGTATCAAACGTCAACGTGAACATTTTGGCGACAAAAATAAAGCAAAAACATCCAACCATTATCAAATTTAAGAACTAGACCCAGCCCTACGGAGCATTTTATCCCCCAAAAAACTGATTTGAGAATATTTTTATTAGTGTAGTAGAATATTTTCAACCAAAAAAACTGTCATGACTCAAAAAAAAGTTGAAAAATGTTTTTTGTGGAAGAAACCCATCATCGTTTTGATATTTAAAGTAAAAATTTCAAAACATTTAAAGACTCACGATATAAACGAGATCCTGAAAGTGAAAATCTATTAGATTCAGAAAGACACGCTGGTATTAAATGTAAACATGGACATTTTGACAAACACTTTGAAGCGTCCAGAAAACAAAAGAGAGAAGTATAATTATAATTTATTAGATTCAAAAAGACGTGCCGGTCTCAACAACATTTTGATGCCAAAAAAATCAGCAAAAACATCACCATTATCAAATTTTAAGACTTTTATGGACTTTTTTTCCCCCAAAAAAACTGATTTGAGAATATTTTTGATAGTGTAACGGAGTATTTTCAAAAAAACCAAAAAAAAATGTCATGAACTCAAAAAAAAGAAAACATTTTACAGAAAAATGAAATTTTCATTAGATTTTTTTTGTGGAACCTATCCATTTTGAGATTTAAAGTAAAAATTTCACGCACTCACTTTGTAAACTCGATCCTGAAAGTGTCAATTTCTTCGATTCAAAAAGTCGTGCTGGTATTAAACGCAAGCATGAACATTTTGACGACTAGTTTGTTTTTTTTACTATTTGGCGCAGGTTTTTTTTGTAATTTTGTAATCACATTTTCGTGTTTTTAGTGTGCGATGACTCAAAAGTTTGAAAAATACTGCGGTATTCTGTAACTACGTCTGCTTCTATAAACACACAACTGCACTTTGCTTCCTTTCTTACAGCAAAAACTTGACTTTTTTTCCTAGATTTTCATTCCTTTTTTTAGATGTCATTATTTTGTGGAAATTTTGTCTTTAAATAAGCGGGGGAAGTACCAACTGGGAAAGAGCCGTTCACGTTCGTTTCTAAGAAAGTGACTGGTCACTCTGCAAACAGGAAACGTGGTGTTGCGAAGTCGAAGCTTTCTCAACGCAGATGCTTTTCAAAAACCCAGTTCTCTAATCTATAAATTACTCTCATTAAAGAACAAAAAAAGAAAAAAAATTAAGTAGTTATTTGATATCTTGATTTTCTAGCTAAAAATATGGAACTGCGAATTTTGTTGTATTATTTTTGCACATTTTATAACAGTTATATGAGAGAGGATACAGAAATACAAACGGAGACAAAGCCAAAATTAATAAAAAACTAATTTTGAATATTTTTATAGAAAAAGTAGAGGGTTCACCAGTTTGGAACGTAGAACTCTTGACACTTACTCTTGGTATTATATTCTAAAAAAGCAGCATTTTTCAATTTTTTTTTGAGTTATGAGACCGTTTTTTTTGGTTAAAAATATTCAGAAATATTTCTCAAATCACACCTTTTAGAAAAAAAAAATGAGTCTATACCTCTGGATTTAGTTCTCAAAATTTGATAATTTTTTTTTTTGTCTTTTGGAGTCTCCAAAATGGTAATGCAACGTAAAACGAAGCCATAAATAATCACAAAAGTTCAAATTTAACTGCAATTTTCAGTCAAACACAAGCCATTCTTCAGTTTTTACTACTTTTTATTCGAAATTCTTAGAGGAAATGAGATCTGCGTCTTTTTCTGGTGAATTCAGGTCAACTCTAGATACTTATTCTCTGTATTAAATTCCCCAAAAATGCATTGTTCAACTTTTTTTTGACTTACGACACAGTTTTTCTGGCTAAAATATTCAAAAATATTTCGCAAATCACATCTTTTAGAAAAAAAAAGTCTATATTGTTGAGTCTAGTTCTTAAAATTTGATAATTGTGATGTTTTTGTCATGTTTTGGAGTCTCCAAAATGGTAAAGCAACGTAAAATGAAGCCATAAATAATCACAAAAGTTCAAATTTAACTGCAATTACAGCATTTTTAGTCAAACACAAGCCATTCTTCAGCTTTTACCACTTTTTAATGAAAATTCTTAGTCGTGGAAATGAGGGAAATGAGATCTAGGGCTTTTTCTGGTCATCGTCTCAAACTAAACTGCTTTTCTAGACATTTTTTAACCAGGAAAGTCCCACAAAAGCTGAAATAAAAACAACTCAAAGCCCCCCCAAAAAAAGCGCTCACCTGCTCTCCCGAAGCACATCCACAGAGGGAGAACGAGGGCTAAAGGACCGGGGCGCCCCATCCTTGGACACTGGATTGAGCGATCGAGGGGCACTCCGAGCGGACTGAGGGCGAAGAGGACGAGTGTTAGGTTCTGACGCCGACTCTGGCTCTTCTACCCGCGCACCTCCAGCGTCACTGCGCAGCTCGCTTGTCGAAAGGGAAGTTGTGGTCGGCAGCTTGAAGTCCATTTCTCTCAGATCTAGTCAAGACCACTCCCCTTTATAAAGAAAACCACAAAAGACACAGAGAAAAAACACACAAAATGCCAACGTTTGGGCCTGAAAATGCGCTTTTAAGTTGAAAAACACGTCTGAAATGAAGAAACAAAGTCGTGGAGTCATAAAATATTTATTATGCATATTGTTTTTGGAGCATTGTACAGTAATATTAGAATACATCAAACAAAAGAGGCTGAATTGTGAACAGGAAGAGAAAGACGACAGTTCTCTCTTCAGCGGTCAACTTCACCAAACACTATGTCCTGTGTGCCTGCAAGACAAAAAAAACACAGTACATGCAGTAAAAGTAGTAACAGTAGTAGTAGTACTTCGATATTCCACCTCGTTAGACAAGTGAAAACAATGTCGTGTAGAGAAAAACTTGGAAATTAAAAGATTACAAGGCGAGTTTGTAAAGCACTTTTGAGTTTAGTGGTTAGAAAACTCGCCGACCTTTTGGCAAGACGCTTCAACCACCTGGCCTACATACGTCTGATGCGTGTGTGTGTGTGTGTGTGTTTGTGTGTGTGTCAGTCTCACTTCTGTCCGGTGTGGTGTCAATAAACAATGTCAGTGTATAAAGAAAGAGCAGAGGTGCAACGAAACGAAGTAAAACTGGGAGTAAAGTGCGGTACTTGACTAAAAGTAAACAGTATCCACTTTGAAATGTACTTAAGTAAAGTACAGAAACGTGCTCTTGAATGCAGAGAAGTGTTTATTTTAGATGTTTGGACTTTTGATTCCATTATATTTTTGAACTGGATTGAAAAGTAATCAAGTCTGTAAATACATCAGTAAAATAAGTCATCAGTAATTAACCAAATAAGTCAGTAAATAAGTCAGTAATTAAGTAAAAGTAAGTACGCAAGCGAATAAGTCAGTAAATATGTAAGTGAGCATGTAAGTAAACAAGTCAGCAGTATGGAACGACTTTTTTTCTACGTCTCAAAGGACATTTCTTCATTAAACGCTGGACAAAATGGTTGAAACATAAACAAAAAGAGACTTAACTTCTATATCCTTATAACGACGGAACAGTGCCCCAGGTTTTTGTTTTTGTATTTGTTTGTTTCTCAAAACTTGAAAAACTTAATAAATAAAAAGTAAAAAGAAAAAAAGTAAGTCACTAAGAAAGTAAAAGGACGGTAAGTAAGCAAGTAAGTCAGTCAGTAAATAAGTCAGTATTTAAGTAAAAGTAAATGAGTCAGTAAAAAGTCAGTAATTAAATAAAAGTCAGTAAGCAAGTAAGAAAATAAATCAGTAATGAAGTAAAAGTAAGCAATAAGTTAGTAAATATGTTAGTAAATAAGTATGTAAGTCAATATTTAGGTAAAAGTAAGTCAGTAAATAAATATGTCAGTAATTATGTAAACAATTAAGTCATTTATTTACTGACTTACTTGTTTACTTACTTAATTACTGACTTATTTATTTACTAATCAGTAATTAATTAAGTAAACAAGTAAGTCAGTAAATAAATAAGTCAGTAATTAAGTAAAAGTAAGCAATAAGTTAGTAAATAAGTCAGTAATTAAATAAAAGTCAGTAAGCAAGTAAGTAAATAAGTAAGTCAGTAATTAGGTAAAAGTGAGTAAGTCAGTAAATAAGTCAGTAATTAAGTCAGTAAACAAGTCAGTCATTTATTTACTGACTTACTTGTTTACTTAATTACTGACATTTATTTACTAATCAGTAATTAAATAAGCAAACAAGTAAGTCGGTAAATAAATAAGTCATGAATTAAGTAAAAGTAAGAAATAAGTCAGTAAATAAGTAAATAATTAGGTAAAAGTGAGTAAGTCAGTAAATAAGTAAGCAAGCAAGTAAATCAGTCAGTAAGTAAGCAAGTCACAAAATAAGTCAGTAATTAAGTAAACAAGTCAGTAAATAAGTCACTAAAAAGTCAGTAATTAAATAAACGTCAATAAGCAAGAAAGTAAATAAGTCAGTAATTAAGTAAAAGTAAGCAAGTCAGTAAATACGTCAGTAAATAAGTCAGTCAATATTTAGGTAAAAGTCAGTACATAAGTCAGTAATTAAGTAAAAATAAGTAAGTGTGAGTAAGTAAGTAAGTAAATAAGTCAGTAATCCGGTCCGGTATATCGATATTTCAATATTTTTTGCAAAACCCTGTAAGTCAGTAAATAAGTCAGTAAAAGAAACTAATTTTTATTTATTTTTTTTATTTTTTTCCGAAAAAAATAAATGTATTCAATTGTTTCTGCTGATTAAAATCACTACATTTGAAGCCTTATAAGACCTCAAAATCTGCGTAAAATCCTCACTTTTTGCTCTTTAAGTACATTTGTAAACAGGTATGTAGCTTTTACAGATTCTACTTTAAGTTGGAATCGTTGATGTTTTGGAAATGTTTTATTTTGTGTGAAAAGGGGGCGGATATTACTAGTTTTTTAAAATTATACATATTTTTATTAATACTTCAGAACCCCAGATGCAAACAAACAAGCACCACACGAGATCACCTCAAAACACAACAAATGCACACAAAAAAAATAATAATAAAGGGTGCAATTCCAAAGCTCCTGATCGAAGGAACAACTCAAAATCATTCAAAAAAGGTTTAGGTTCAATGAGCCAAAAAAAAAAAAAAAAAAAGAAGTTTCAGGGGCAGATATTACAAATCTAAACTTCCTCCTGCTCCTTTTCATTCACATAAGTATTTTATATTCATCTTTACAGAATAAAACTAATGAAAAATGAAAATTAAATTAAATGAGGTACTTTAATACTTCACTTAGACTTTTTTCATGTGATACTTTTAGTTTTATGTGAGAATTTAGCAAAATTGAGTTATTGTTCCAAAACTAGTGAAGAGTTTTTGAAAGTCCAAACATAAATACATAAATACACTGATGCATTATTATTACTGCTGTAAAAGTGTGTTGCCAAAAGACACAAAAGCAGAGACAGAACCGTCACTAAATGAGCTACAGCGGCTAAAATGACAGTAGTTTAGAGCGAGTAGAGTGTAGAAGTGTAGAAGTGTCGAAGCATCTGTCACATCACATTCTGATGGTGTTAGATAAAAGTTGTGAAATGTTCTGAAGTGAAGTAAAATATAAAAACTTGTTAAACTCTTACCAATAATGGCGACTACATCAGCCAGCATGTGTCCTTTGGCCATTTTGTCCAGTCCAGCCTGAGGAAAAAATTTAAAATAAAAACACTGTTACGGTTAAGTTAATGCGTCATAAAACACAACATCAACACGTCTTCCTAAAAAAGGTACACTGTGTAACTTTTCTGGTGGAGATTTATCCGTGGAGATGTTATTGTTTTGTCTGGAATGTTCCGCTCTATGGCTTTAAACCTTTCTATCTTCATGGAACCCAAACCAAACCCAGTTACAGGTCAGATCTGTGGATAGGCGTCAGAATGCCTGGGAGCCCCCGCCTGATGACATACGGGAAAAAATAAATTAAAAAAATCGTCATCTCATATTACCATTTCGTTCCCACGGTTTAGTTCTTTCGTTCTCGCGATTTAGTTCTTTCGTTCCCACGGTTTAGTTCTTTCGTTCCCACGTTTTAGTTCTTTCGTTGCTGCGGTTTAGTTCTTTCGTTCCCACGGTTTAGTTCTTTCGTTCCCACGTTTTAGTTCTTTCGTTCTTTAGTTCTTTCGTTCCCACGGTTTAGTTCTTTCGTTGCCGCGGTTTAGTTCTTCCGTTCTCGCGGTAAGTTCTTTCGTTCCCACATTTTGGCTAAATCGTTCCCACGTTTTAGTTCTTTCATTGCCGCGGTTTAGTTCTTTCGTTCCCACGGTTTAGTTCTTTCGTTTTGGCTAAATCGTTCCCACGTTTTAGTTCTTTCGTTCCCACATTTTAGTTCTTTTCGTTCCCCATTTAGTTCTTTCGTTCCCACGTTTAGTTTCTTTCGTTCCCACGTTTTAGATAAATCATTCCCACATTTTAGTTCTTTCGTTCCCCCATTTTAGTTCTTTCGTTCCCGCGGTTTAGTTCTTTCGTTCCCACGTTTTAGATAAATCATTCCCACATTTTAGTTCTTTCGTTCCCGCGTTTTAGTTCTTTCGTTCCCGCGTTTTAGTTCTTTCGTTCCCGCGTTTTAGTTCTTTCGTTCCCGCGTTTTAGTTCTTTCGTTCCCGCGTTTTAGTTCTTTCGTTCCCGCGTTTTAGTTCTTTCGGTCCCACGTTTTAGTTCTTTCGGTCCCACATTTGGGTTATTTCGTTCCCACGTTTGGGCTAAATCGTTCCCACCTTTCAGCTAAATCGTTCCTGCATTTTGGTTATTTTGTTCCCACATTTTAGTTATTTCATTCCCACGTTTCAGTTACATCGTTCCCATGTTTTAGTTATTTCGTTCCCACGTTTCGGCTAAATTGTTCCCATGTTTCGGCTAAGTCGTTCCCACGTTTTAGTTATTTCGCTTGATTTCGAACGATTCAAATTTCGTTTTAGTTAATTAGAATTAACTAAAACACAATGTGGGAACAAAAAAAAAGTAATTTGAGGCCACGATTTAGCATCTTTTTTCACGTACGTCATCATGAGGCGGGCTCCCTAATAAAAGCACCTGTAATTGAATAAATGTAAAGTGGAGCTGCTTAACGTCACACTTCCGCAGTTCGTCCTCACTTATCTTACACATTCAGAAACATCCGAATTATTAAACTGTGATGGTTTAAACTCGTCTTGTTAGTCATGAGCTTTAACCTGACTCACTTCCTGATGATCGGACAATAAAACACTTTATAATCAGATGCAAACGGAGCACAGTGGACTTATGTCTCGTATAAGCAGGTCATGAGGTCAAAATCTGTCTGATATCTGGGGCAAGACACATTTTGCTCAAATACACAGGAAAACAGTTCTGAAATCATGCTGATCATAAATTAGTGTTTGTTTGTTATCCTGATCGAAAATAGTTTAAATGATTTCAACTTTAAAATCAGACAGAAATGTGATTCATTGTCATTTATCATATTTCAAATGTGTGATTAATTTTTTTTGGTAATGTTTATTTGTAATGGGGTTTTTTTCAGTACCAAGTGAGCGAATCCGGGGGCTTTGATCTTGCAGCGGTACGGTCTGCTCGAGCCGTCCGACACCAGGTACACGCCAAACTCACCCTGTTCAACAACACACAAAAATGAAGTTAACATTAAGTTAAACAAAAATGACAGATATTTTTTCACTATTTTTTATTCAGTGAGTAATAAACACGACACTAGTCATCATTTCGAGATCATTTTTTATAAACTTGGACTGATATTTCTTGGGAAACAAAGGGTTAATATAATGAAACGGAAATGGACCAATCACAGTTTTTCTTCCAGTGGTATCCGGGTAAAATCAGTGACTCCCCCTGCAGCGCTGAACTAAACAAACACCTGCAGGAGCTTCAGTGGCTGGAACGAAGACCAGCGCAATTCAAGTCAATGTGGGGGATGAGTTTGAGACTGACAGTTGTCTGAGCCAATCATATTTCATCGAATTATGGACGGGATCATATCACGCCATCTTCCGGGCCTTCGCGAATACCCTGTGATAGTAAATATAAGCAAGACCTCAGCGACAAAAAACGAGTTGGACGCTTCAGGGACGTCTGAAAGAAGAAGAAAGAGAAAGACCCGAGAACTGGAGCTTGGAATAAAAGTGGGTCTTAAGTAGAGCCCGACCGATATGGATTTTGTTGTGGCCGATATGAAACTGATATAACGGGAGTTGGAGCTGCCGATAGCCGATATAATCGCCGATATATTTAGTGATGTAAAAATTCACTGTAAATCTTGAATTGTTTAAAAAACTTAGGTTTGGCTCTAGTGGATTCTAAATTGGGTTTATTTAGGCAACATTTATTGTTATTCTGACTCTTTACATCATATTTACATACAGTAGATTGGCCTAATGACATTTTTGCATCTTTTTCTAGCTACTAGTGATGGGTATTCCAGTTTTTTTTTTTTTTTTGGAGAACCGGCTCTTTTGGCTCGGCTCACTAAAGCAGCTGGCTCTTTCGGCTCCCAAGCGACTCTTGAGATTGTTTTGTTGCAAGCAGGACTAAACCAAAACTGGACCAGGACTGAAAAAGGACTAAACCAGGACTAAAACAGATTTAAACCATGTGTAAAACAGGACTAAACCAGAACTGAACCAGGACTGAGTGTCGGGACTCGGTCTCTATCTCTCTCTATCTCTCAAGACCAAGATTAGTCCTGGTTTATTCATTTTATGCTGAACTGCAGCCAAATATGCACTTTTTTTTTTTAATCCTATGCACACGCAGATTTCTGAAAGTTTCGTTTTCAGCCGCTGCTGCTGTCAAACTACGGGTCGACATGCAGCTTGAAGAGAAAAAGAGAAAACACGGCTCCCAATAAGGATCAGGCTCCTGTCGTTCACTTCAAAGAGCCGGTTCTAAGAGCCGCTTCGATCGCGACCTAACTCCTAGCTAGTAAATAAACTACCGCTATTAGCCTTTAGCCGTAAAAACGTGCGCACCGCGGTATTAATTATATGCATAAATGTGGATCATTCACACGTCTATTCACAGCTCATTTACATATCAATGCTGGTCCAGTAACAAATGTACGGACAATATAATCACTTTACAATAGGCCAATAGAAAACAGCCTGTTTATGTGCGGGAGCTACAGCAGCTAATCGCTAACAGATAACCTAAACTAGCTTCAAAGTCGATGTATTTCCAACACTCACCGCTCACACAGGCTCCTCCCACATCACAAGTCTGCACTAATAAATGTCCTTTTAATCCAGACTCAAACCGATTGTCCATAAAAAGAATATAATCTCAATGTTGCGCACGGCTGCGGGTGTAAACAAACACACGTGAGTGAAGTGACGTGACTCTGGTGGTGTGTTCAGGGACAGTATGGACACAGACAAATTACACCGCAAATAAATACTGATGTGGAGCCACATATTAGGACATTTATCTGTCTATAAATTGGATTAAATGACCATAATGTAGAGAGTCTAAGCTTTATAACGAGGTATAACATGCCCACGTGAAATATCGGCCCATATTAGCAAGCATATCGGCCGATAGCCGATATGCTCCCAGGTGCCCATATTGGCCGATAATATCGGCCAGCCGATATATCGGTCGGGCTCTATCTTAAGACGAGACCTCTGACCTCTTGATTATAGCTGAGATTTTGTATTTTATTACTAATTTTACGATTTTATTTTGATTTATACATTTACTAGGGTTGTAACAATATCCAAGTCTCTTGATACGATATCGTCACGGTATGAACCTCACGATACGATATTTATAGTGATATCGTGGGAAAGCTCACGTTTAGGGATGTAACGATATCCAAATCTCTCTGTACAATATATTCACGATATACATCTCGCGGTACGATATTTATTGCGATATTTTGTGGAGGCTACGAACAAAACTGTTATAATACGTTACTTTTTCCTCTTAAAATGCCTTGATGAGACTTAATCCAAGACTTAAAAGTGTTAGAACTGTTATTTCTTCTTGTCGTTTGCACTGAAATGGAGCAAAGGATCATGGTCTATGTAGTTTTCTCTGGGTTCTCTTCATTTCGGTTATTGTGACATCCCTAACATTTACATTTATATAATTATGTCGTATTTAACACCTGTCTCTTGCTCTTTTTTGCTACTTATTTAATTTAATATTACCATTTATGTTTTTATTCTTTGTTATTATGATGTGTGAGCGTCTGTGTCCAAATCATTTCCCTTGTGGATCAATAAAGTTTGACTTAAAACAACCTGTCTCTCCTGGTTTTAAGCCTCGTTTTAGGCCTCAGGAGCTGAAAAAGGAGTAAATCTGGAGGAAGTCCGAGACGTAACGTCGGGCCAGAACATTCAAAGCTTTTAAAAATGAACAGTAAAACCTTAAAATCAACTCTAAAACGAAGACGAGGAACCCTAAAATCAGTCTAATGTGCTCGCGTTTTGGACCAACTGTAAGCAAGAAAGTGCAAAGGCCAAAGAAACCTGCATTTCGTTGTCTAAACGAGAGGAAATAAAAGCGTGTGTGACCCATTTTAAAAGATAAAAACGGTTTAATTTCAGATAAAAGCCCCAAATGTTCCACATGCGGTTTCAGTGAGCCCAGGCCGGTGAAGGAATTTAACAAAATGACCTCAGTTCTGCCCTCATTTAGACTTAAAAATTAAAAATGACACAACATTTAGACTTATGAAACAGCTTCAAGGGCGTACGGTGGGTTTTCGTGTTTTTTTAATCCTGACTTGGTCTTGGTGGAAGCTGTGGTAAATATTTATCACACTTTTGCATCAGTTAAGTGTCAAAAAAAAGCTGCAAAGTAAAGTACCAAAATACAGGAAGCGGCGCCGAGTTGTCGACTTGTACAACAGAACTCTGCAACCCGAGTCATCAACAACACGGAACATCTGAGTCGAAATTTATGCACAAGGAAAGAAAGACGGCAATTTTCTGACAGATTATCGAAAACTGGAATCAAAATAAAGGTGTTTTTTGGTGTTTAAAGTGGATTTTTGTGATGCGTATTTTTATTTTTAACTAATTATTAACCCAAACAGAACAGGCCATGTCCAACTGGGAAAAAAAATGATAAAACTTCACCAAAATAAACATAAATAAGTAAAAAAATAGGCAAAATTATTAATAAATCTTGACTAATACTACTTGTTTTATGCATGTAGGCCCGTCAGAATTACTGCTGCTACTACATTATTACTAAGATACCGCAATCCTTCTGTACTTTTTTTTTTTTTTGCACTATTTGAAAGGCTGATATTACGTAATTTTCTGATCTATGTTATAATGTTGTTTCCTCGTCACAAACGGACCTGGAGTTGTGTTTTTTTTTGTTTCATTCACATGTTTAACACACAAACCCTGCACATTTAAGCTGAGTTCTTGTCTGTTCCAACTTATGATGTCATGTGGTGATGCATGAAGTCCTCCACTGTGTTTTGAAACTCCACACCAAACTTAAACCAGGACTAAACCAGGACTAAACCAGGACTAAACCTGGACTAATCCTGGACTAATCCTGGATGGTTTAGTCCTGGTTCAGTCCTCCTGGTTCAGTCCGTAAGGGTCAAAATTGGATGAAACGGGAAACAGCTGTTATTTGTTTAGTTTTTTCCATTTTGATTTTGGTGACAAATAATGAAGAAAATAGTGCTTTTTCATCCTTCTTTTAGTCCTTCTAGTCCTTTTAGTCCCTGGTCTAGTTTTTCATTTAGTCCCAGTTCGGTCCCGGTCTGGTCCCGCTCTATCCCTGGTATAGTCAGTGTTCCTTCTTTTTGTCCCTGGTTTAGCTCTGGTATAATCAATGGTTTGCCCTCCTTTATAGTCCTCCTTTTTAGTCCTCCTTTTTAGTCCTCCTTTTTAGTCCTCCTTTATAGTCCTCCTTTATAGTCCTCCTTTATAGTCCTCCTTTATAGTCCTCCTTTATAGTCCTCCTTTATAGTCCTCCTTTATAGTCCTCCTTTTTAGTCCTCCTTTTTAGTCCTCCTTTTTAGTCCCTCTTATAGTCCCTGGTTTGGACCTGGTCTAGCTCTGGTATAATCAATGTTTTGTCCTTCTTTTAGTCCTTCTTTAAGTCCCTCTTATAGTCCCTCTTATAGTCCCTGGTTTGGTCCTGGTCTAGTCCTGGGCTAATCCTGGTCTATCTCTGGTCTAATCAATGTTTTGTCCCTCTTAGTCCCTGGTTTAGTTTTGATTTAGTCCCTGGTTTAGTTTTGATTTAGTCCCTGGTTTAGTTTTGATTTAGTCCCTGGTTTAGTCCCTGGTTTAGTTTGATTTAGTCCCTGGTTTGGTCTTGATTTAGTCCCTGGTTTGGTCCCTTGGTTTAGTCCCTGGTTTAGTCCCTGGTTTAGTCCCTGGTTTAGTCCCTGGTTTAGTCCTGGTTTGGTCCCTGGTTTAGTCCCTGGTTTAGTCCCTGGTTTAGTCCCTGGTTTAGTCCCTGGTTTAGTCCCTGGTTTGATCCGTCTATCAAAGTTCCATCCCTATTTTAGTCCTTCTTTTAGTCCTTGTTTGATCCTGGTCTGGTCCTGGTCTATCTCTGGTATAATCAATGTTTTGTCCCCATTTTAGTCCTTCTTTTAGTCCCCAGTTTAGTTTTGATTTAGTCTCTGGTTTGGTCTAGTCCTGTTCAAGTCCTAGTCCTTACTTCAACATTATTATTCTTTTTTTTTTTATTAAAATCAATAAATGTGACTTTAAATCCTGTTTTCCCGTCAGCTCCGTGTTGGTCCCGTGTGCAGTTCTGACCTTGGGGGCCTCGACGGCGGTGTACGTGGCCCCTGGAGGGACCTGGTAGCCCTCGGTGTACAGCTTAAAGTGGTGGATGAGCGACTCCATGGAGGTCTGAAAAACAAAACAAAACAAACAAAAAAAAAAAAAAAAAAAGAGATGTGAGACAGTCAAGAGGAACAGGAAGCTGACTTGCGCTGCGACGGAGGCGGCAGCGGCGTGAAATGTGTGTGCTCACAACACGGTTTCACAACACACACACTTTCTGTTATCGTCCAAGATCGAGTTTTTTACGTGACATTAAGACATTTTAGAAGGACAGGTCAGGAGTTTGACATTTATAAAGCAGGAAGAGTGAGAACGCAGAGAGTTTGGACATGTTTTGTGTCAGCAGAAATACCCAAAAGTGAAAATGGTGCCTTTATTCAACACCTAAGACATGATTTTGTTGTTGAAAAGACTTTAATAGTTTAATATCAGAGGTTTGTGGAGCCATTTCCCAACAAATTTTAAGAGAACATTTGGAGAAAGATAAATTTGGAGATTTCTCACAAAGAGTTTTATTCAGGGTTCCCACCAGAGTCCCGCTGAAACGGGCGGGTTTTAACGTTCTGGAATTTTACAGGTGGGTATGTGGGAGGGTAGTGATTACACACAGGCGGGTCAGGACTAAACCAGGACTAATCTTGGACTTAAGCGAGGGAGAACCCAGAGTCCGTGGAGCAGGGTGTCCGCAAAGCGTGATCGGGCGACAGCTGCGCTTAGACCCGTGCGGCGCGGAGCTCTGCACTCCGGTCCTTTCGCCTGCGGTCACCCGACGGTCTACACAGGCGCAACTCCAAGCCGTCCCAACAGTGAGTCCCGGTGTAGTCCCGTTTAAGTCCCGTTTAAGTCCCGGAATCAGACAGAGATTAGTCCTTGTTAATCCTGGTTATGTCCTGTTTTGGTCCTCTTTTGGTCTTGTTTTGGTCTTGGTTTACTCCCGGTTCAGTCTGGTTTTAGTCTTGGTTCAGTACTGGAATCAGTCCTAGATTAGTCCAGTTTAGTCCCGTTTTAGTCCCGTTTTAGTCCCGTTTTAGTCCCGTTTTAGTCCCGTTTTAGTCCCGTTTTAGTCTTGGTTCAGTCCTGGAACCAGTCCTGGAACCAGTCCTGGAACCAGTCCTGGAACCAGTCCTGGAACCAGTCCTGGAACCAGTCCCGGTTCAATCCTGGTTCAATCCTGGTTCAGTCCTGAGATTAGTCCTAGATTAGTCCTGTTTTAGTCCCGTTTTAGTCTTGGTTCAGTCCTGGAACCAGTCCTAGATTAGTCCTGGTTAGTCCCGTTTTAGTCCCATTTTAGTTCCATTTTAGTCTTGGTGCAGTCCTGGAATCAGTCCTAGATTAGTTCTGGTTAGTCCCGTTTCAGTCCCGTTTTAGTCAGGTTTTAGTCAGGTTTTTAGTCTTGGAACCAGTTCTGGAACCAGTCCTAGATTAGTCCTGGTTAGTCCCGGTTTAGTCCCGGTTCAAACCTGGTTCAGTCCTGAGATTAGTCCTAGATTAGTCCCGTTTTAGTCTTGGTTCAGTCCTGGAACCAGTCCTAGATTAGTCCTGCTTAGTCCTGGTTTAGTCCCGTTTTAGTCCCATTTTAGTCCCATTTTAGTCCCATTTTAGTCCTGGAACCAGTCCTAGATTAGTCCTGGTTAGTCCCGTTTTAGTCCTGTTTTAGTCTTGGTTCAGTCCAGGAATCAGTGGTAGATTAGTCCTGGTTAAGTCGTATTTTAGTCGTGTTTTAGTCCCGTTTTAGTCTTGGTTCAGTCCGTGGCGTGTTTCTTCTGCTCAGTAAATAAAGCCTGTGAAGTGTTCGTACTGAAGAAAGCGAAACCGTTTCATTTCATTTCGTGATTGTAATTCTTGTAACTTTTCAGTTGTTATATTCAGTTATAGTTCAGTTATATATTCTGACGGATGCTTCAGTTAGAACGATTTTAATTTGTGTGCGATTTTTCTCGGACACGGGCGGGTAACGGGTGGAATGTCGACGGGTCCGAGCGGGCGCGGGCCCCAGTTTGACGACCTCTGATTTAAACCAAAGCTCTCAAACATCCTCGGACCCGCTCCTCGTACTTTCCGGTCTTTCCCGTACCTTCATCTCGGCTCTCTTCGGCGGGGCCACCTTGGCGTCGTCCACCTTGATCTCTCCCTCGGGCATCTTGTTGAGGGCCTGGAGCATGATTCTGAGCGACTGCCTCATCTCCTCCACTCGACACAGGTACCTGCAAAAAAAAACACGAACGCACAAACATGTCTCTGCGCTTTGTGGCGACATCGCACGCCGACTTTGCATTTATTTCCTGGAAACCGATTCAAACCTTAACCTAAACCCAAACCATGACCTGAATTAAGCCACAACTGAAAGTGGAACTGAACACAAAAATCACCCGTCTGTATATTTGGTGTTTTGAAAGTGTTATCTACTCTTCCTAATAATTTTTTGGTAATAATATAGGTCAATTTGCAGCCTTCTAGTAAAAAAAAACACCCTAAATCTGAGCGTGTGGCATTTTCAGTGACTTCTGGGATTTCAAGTAGTTGGTGACATCACACAGGACTACGCCGATTACAGCCAGGTGTTTCTGATCAACTCTATTTAAAATTTTATATTCTATTGACATTCTGCCTCAATTCTGGCAGTTTGATTATTACATGTTTAGAAAAAAAAACTCCATCTACTGTCAAATGATGTGAAAAAAAGTCTAAAAGCTACGTTCAGACTGCAGGGATTAATGCTCAATTCGGATTATTTTGTGAAATCACATTTTTTTTGCGAGGTCGTTCACATTTCTAATTAAACTTGACTTGTGTGTGAGCTCCAGTGTGAACTTTAAACGCGCCAAAAGTGTCCCGCATGAGCACTGGAGAACACGGTGTTTACTCTGCGTGTTTGTCTAATCATAACTATTTTTATTATTAACTTCACCAAAATAAAACAAAATCAGTAAAAAAAATAGGCAAAATTATTAATAAAATCTTGACTAATACTACTTGTTACTACTAATACTACTTGTTTTATGCACGTAGGCCCGTCAGAATTACTACTACTACATTATTATTACGATAACTCGAACTTTTGTGCTTTTTCTTTGCAGTATTTAAAACGGCCCACATTACGCCATTTTCTGATCTCTGTTTAACACAAATCCCGCAGATTTAGACCGAGTTCTTCTCTCAAACTACTGTAAAAACACCTTGTGATGTCATGTGGTGATAGAGGAAGTCCTCGTTCGGTTCGTGCAGGTCCAGGGTCCAAAAGTGTCTCGCATGAACATTGGAGGACACGACGACGTCAAACACAGCGAGCGTGCTCAGAGTTTACGGAAGTCGCCTAAACTCTGGGCTCGTCTCCCAAAATCCGATCTAGTTCTTGGTAAAATGTTCAGGTTACACGTCCACGTCCGCTTTGTTTGAGTCTTTAGCCTCCTTGTATTTTCTCGTAGGTTCTTTATTTTTCGTTGTTTTTCGTTGGAGCCAGGACCGACTGTAGCCGCGCTCAGACATTTCTTTGGCAATCATTTCAAAAACTGCCTGATTCTGATGAGACCCCTCAAATTTGTCCTGAACACAGCGGTCCCCACAAATATGAATAAACTCTCTAACCTCACTTTCCCTTCATGGACGAGACTCTGAGCCTGACGTGTAGGTGGGATGAATGTGACCTGACCGTTCAGACTGAAGTCACATGTCAAAAGGTCGGGTATATATCATTTTAGGAGCACAGATCCAAGTGTCCTGGGTCACATTTGAAAAAAAAACCCCACAGATCTGTGTCGTCCAGACTAAAAGATCAGATACAGGAGCACAAGGGCGATAAAAACTTCAGGCTGTAGACTGAACCGAGCCTAAATGTCACTACAAAGTATTTTATTTATACAGCGCTTTTCACAGACATATGTCACAAAGACGCTTTACAGAGCATTTATAGATTCATTATTCTTTTCTCTCCACACCCAGTGATGTAAACTACTATTGTAGCCACAGCTGCCCTGGGGCAGACTGACAGAAGCGCAGCTGCCATGCGAATCAATGTCATCGGTCCCTCCGACCACCACCATCACTCACACACACCACTTTCATACTAGGCAATATGGGTGAAGTGTTTTGCCTAAGGACACAACAACGACTGGCGCCTCCTGTGGCTCCTGATTTTCCCAGTGTCTCCATCCAAGTCTGGACCAGACCCGGCCCGGCCCTGCTGAGCTTCTGAGATCTGACGGGATCAGATTTTGTCAAGCCCGTGTGGAGACACTTTCTCTACACAAACACAACTTAACACATCAAAATGACGTAAAAGACAGTTCTCCCTGTTCACTGTGTGCGCTGACACTTTTGCTGTATAACATAAATCCAACCGATTTGATCTGCGCCGAACTCGCCCGAGTTTGTGGCCGTTCCACTGCACTTTCTCGAGGTGGAGGTCAGTTTTCCCCGTGTCCCAAGCGCAAGAGAATGCAGCATAACTACAAACATCTGACTGCAGGAGCGGAGTTTGAAGTCAATCACACTGTTCCTCATAAGTCCAGACCGCACTCCTCCTCCTCACTTCTTCTTTCCTTTCTTTAAACTTTCAGGTACTTCCCAGTTTCTCAGCTCTGTTTGAAATGTGGCTGTGGGCGAGGTATGCATTCTTGTGGCTTTAACTGCCTTTTAGAAATGCTTTCGGTCACTTCGGGATAAGCAATTTTATATTTCCTAACTTCAAATAATGTCTGCCTTTGGAAACACATGTTTTTCCAATGACAAATTTAAGCATTGGAGCTCCCTCTGCTGTCAGGTTCATTTGATTATTTCTCATCGTTCGTTCTCCTCGCTCTTAGGATGTGTGAATTCTCTGCTGATGGAGCCGTGCGTTTGTTGTGAACACATTTTGAGCACAGAATAAGTCCGGAGATGGTTTATGGGCTTAAAAACTGCACAGGAGAAGTCTGGAGTTTTGTCTATGACGCAAAAAAAACTGGCAATATCCAAATGAAGCAATTTTTGAGTGCAAGTTTGGATTAAAACGATCTATAATAAAATTCCAGGTCTGTAAATACTCAGAAAAGTAAGTACATTTAGCATAATACGGGTTTGTTACAACAGAAAAGCGTTGATTCTTCACTGATAAACTCTGTAAACCCAAATCTATCAAACGGTTCTAAAGCCTCCTCACCTGTCGTAGCAGTCTCCGTTAGTCCCGATGGGCACGTCGAACTCCACCTCGTCGTATTTGTCGTAGGGCTGCGATTTCCTCAGGTCCCATTTGATTCCAGAGCCCCGAAGCATCACTCCACTGCGGACAGAAAAAAAAGACGACAATTCACACCAAGAGTCAAAAGTTTGGACCACAGACTGTAAATCTTTTTTCATATATTTGAGGTTTTCTGAATGTAGACAAAACTTAGAAACAAGTAAAACAAAAACAAAAAAAACAGAGTGAGAGGTTGTTTCTAAATGTTTGAAATTTTTTTTAAGCTGCCGAGTTTAGAAAAGTTGGAGGAGAGTGAAAATCTGAACCTGAATCCGTAGTTGAGCGCCTCCTCTGCAGACACCACCCCGATGTCCACGGTGCGATTCTTCCAAATACGATTGTTGGTCAGCATCTGGGAACAAGTTCAGATTAGACGTCAAATGAATGTTCACAGTCATGTCAGACTTTTATTCATTTATTTGATAGGGACACTGGATAAACTACAGGACACTAAATTACAACAAACTGACTCAAATTCATTTCCACAAAGACAGATTGAGAGAAATCTTTCCACAGTATAAAATTCCATCACAGAACCGTACAGTACCGGTCAAAAGTTTTAGAACACCCTCATTTTTCCAGTTATTTATTGCAATTCAAGTCCAATGAAGAGCTTAAAATGGTACAAAAGGTAAGACCTGAACAGATAGAGGTTAAAAAAAAAAAAGATAAACAAGAACAAAACACAAGTCCAAGCTCTGCCAAAACTACAGTATTTTCCGCACTTAAAAGCCTTTAATTTAATCAAAAATGACTGCGCGATTTATAATCCAGAGCGCCTTATATATGAATTTATTGGGGTGTCTTAGTACGACTTTAGTAAACTACAAAGCCGCTCCACTTGCAGCGTTACGGCTCCGTAGTCAGGAGCATCAGGAGTAATACATACTGTATTTTCCGGGCTATTAGATGCACTCTTAAGCCTCCAACCCCATCAAAAAAAGACTGCGCCCCACAATCCAGAGCGCCCCATACACGAATCCACTCAGGTGTCCCAGTACGACTTCGGTAAACTACAAAGCCGCAAACACGCACGGAGCAGACAGCGACCGCACAACGAAACACACCCACAGACACACTCATCACTCCACGCCGACGAGGAACGGAACGGAGGAACGAACCGAAAAAGCGACGAGCGCGACGTGCCGCTTCTAGACACGACTGAACAACTGAGTCACTGCGAACACGCCGACAATCCGTTGGTCCCAGACACACCCTCCCTACACGCCACAACTGAACAAAGCCCAGAGTCACCGTGAACGAACAAACAAACAAAACCACTCACCCATCACACTGTTGGGTTTCCTTTAAAGTCCCACGCGAATTATTTGTGAAAAAAGTTTGAAAATAGACCATTTAATGACAGTGCGTCTTATAATCCAGAGCGAATAATAGTGCAGAAAATACAATACTGTGATTCCTTTTAATATCAAAATGCATCTATCAAGAAACACGCTCACAACGCCGACTTTAAACTCAAGACTGTTATAAAGTGAAAGTGCGAGCTGCGTGGGAGCAATGGATGAGAGAAGGAGACAGTATTTTTTTTTATGTGTTACAATTGAACAAAGGTGAGAGTTATTGTGAACGCGTTAAAGGTTGTATGGAGGTTTCAAATTGTCATTGAAAGTTTAAAATACCATTACAGAGACGCGGCAGCCTTGTAATTATGTTGACCAAAAAAAAAAGAATGAAAATCTATCAACTGTGGACGTAGTGAGGCCAGATAAACATCAGCCAATAGAAAACGAGGCTGCTTCATTTTCTATTGGCTGTTAGGTCGTCAATCAAACTCCCTAGTGTAACTGACTTGTCGGCGCGCAGGGATTATGTGGTTTATGCAGCAGTTTTTAGAGGCTTTTTCAAACTGTCGGTTCCTCGCAATTCGAACAAAGTTGGTTGCGACGGCGGACGAGAATCCACGACCAGTTCGCCACAAAAGAAAGTCCGTTTTTTAGGTCACTGAAAGAAGAAGAGAAGGGGAAAAGGAGCCAAGACAAACTGAGGCGATTCTTGGAGATCTCTTCCAGCGATGGCGCGACTGAAGCAGACGAAGGCTCTAAAAACTGACGTGTCGGTCGCTATATCACATCTAGACAGGTCACTTCAACAGTAATTCTGAACGCGCGCTGGATGTAAACAAGCGCGATTTCCAGAGTAAAGAGGCAGGACGAGATGTTTCTACTGAGGGAGCTGTGGAGGAGGAAGGAGGGGTCACGCATGCACAACATTCGAAAAAGGAGTGTCGCTGTATTTCTCTTCCCTTAAAAAATCCTCTACCCAACCTTTAAAGGTTGTATGGAGGATTTTTTTTTTCGTTTCAAATTGTCAGTGAAAGTTTAAAATACCATTACAGAGACGCAGCAGCCTTGTAATTATGTTGACCAAAAAAAAAGGAATGAAAATCTATCAACTGTGGACGTAGTGAGGCCAGATAAACATCAGCCAATAGATAATGAGGCTGCCTCATTTTCTATTTCCTGTTAGGTTGTCAATCAAACTCCCTACGTTTCTAGTGCAACTGACTCGGGGATTACGTGGTTTATGCAGCGCTTCTTAGAGGCTTTTTCAAACTGTCACTTCCTCGCAGCTCGCGCAAAGTTTGTCACGATGGTGGACTAAAATCTGCGACCAGTTCACCGCAAAAAGAAAGTCAGTTTTTGAGGTCGCTGAAAGAAGAAGAGAAGGGGAAAAGGAGCGAAGCCAAACTGAGGTGATTCTTGGAGATTCCTTCCAGCGAAGGCGCGACTGAAGCAGACGAAGGATTTTAAAAACTGACGTGTCGGTCGCTAAATTATTTCTAGACAGGTCACTTCAACAGTCATTCTGAACACACACCAGATGTAAACAAGTGTGATTTCTAGAGTAAGGAGGCGGGAGGAGGTGTTTCTACTGAGGGAGCTGCGGAGGAGGGAGGTGGTGTCACGCATGCACAAGGACTGTTGCTGTATTTCACTTCTCTTAAAAAATCCTCTATACAACCTTTAAAGTTTGACTGACTTATCTAACTGTTGTGTTTCGTTTAATGCGCCTCATAGTCTGGTGCGGTTTATTTGTGGAAAAAAGTTCAAAAATAGACCATTCCATGACAGTGCGCCTTTTAATCCAGAGCCCCTATAGTGCAGAAAATACGGTACCTCAGGAAAAAAGAACAAGATGGTAAAACTTGAAAACCTGGAGTGTCCAGCAGCAGCACAGTGTCCAGACTTAAACTCCATCGAGCTGAAGACTGAAGAGTGAAGCGACCTACAAGCGCCACACATTTATTTATGGAAACTTCTGCGACAGACTCGGGACGAACTTTCTGAACAATATTTGATTTCTGTTGTAAAAAGAACGAGCCGCGAGTGTGTTCAGGTGACACTTTCACGAGTCAAAAGTTCAGAATACGTTTTGGTCAACAGTAAACAGTAAAGAAAATGGAAAAAGTGTGGTGTTGTAAAAGTTTTGACCGGTTGTGTAGATCAGAAGAGAGTTATATGGGCGGTAAAAGCAGCAGCAGCAGCAGCACAGAGAGGAGCGGAACACAAGTGTCACGTCCTTGTGCGACTTCTGAAACGGAAAGATTTAAGGTTAAGGACGGGGCCTTTTCAGTTTTATATTTAGCACCTGACCCTGCGCAAACAAGTCAGTAACAAAACATGACACAGAAGTTTAGGTATTAGAGAACACTGGCCAGAGTTTAAGAACTTACAGACTTGGCAATTTCAGAATGTTAAAAAAATAAAAATGCAGTTGTTTATGCAGAAAAAAACGGGAGATTTTGTTGTTGGAACTCAAGGTACTTTGTGATTTGCAAATTGTGATTTTGTTTAAATTGTGATAAATAATCTTGCAGTCCCGTTTTGGCTCACAAAAGTTTAAAATGTAAAAGAAAGTGAGTTTTGAAGAGAGAATTAAGTTAGATAAATGAAAAACTTACCTCTTCCACTTCATCGATCCGGATGGAAAAGTTCTTGCACCACTCGTAGATGTCGTCCATCAAACCCAACGGCATATCCTGAAACAGACGAACATTTAATACAGGACGAGATTTAAATGTCACAGATATTGTGTTGTGCTCATGTGCAGCAAAAGAAACTCTTAAAGGTTGTATGGAGGATTTTTTTTTTGTTTGTTTCAAATTGTCAATGAAAGTTTAAAATACCATTACAGAGATGCAGCAGCCTTGTAATTATGATGGCCAAAAAACAAAAAAAAGAATGAAAATCTATCAACTGTGGAGGCGTTGAGGCCAGATAAACATCAGCCAATAGAAAATGAGGCTGCCTCATTTTCTATTGGCTGTTAGGTTGTCAATCAAACACCCTAGTGTAACTGACTCGTCGGCGCGCTGGGATTACGTGGTTTATGCAGCGGTTCTTAGAGGCATTTTCTAATTGTAGCTTCTTTGCAGTTCGCACAAAGTTTGTTGCGATGGCGGACGAGAATCCACGACCAGCTCGCCGCAAAAGAAAGTCAAATTTTGAGGTTGCTGAAAAAAGAAGAGAAGGGGAAAAGGAGCAAAGACAAACTGAGGTTATTCCTGGAGATCCATTCCAGCGATGGCGCGACTGAAGCAGACGAAAGGTCTAAAAACGGATGCATCGTTCGCTAAATTACTTCTAGACAGGTCACTTCAACAGTAATTCTGAACGCGCACTGGATATAAACAAACGTGATTTCCAGAGTAAAGAGGCGGGAGGAGATGTTTCTACTGAGGAGCTGTGGAGGAGGAAGGTGGTGTCACACATGCACAACATTTGAAAAAAGACGGTCGCTGTATTTCTCTTCCCTTAAAAAATCCTCTATACAACCTTTAAATGAATACTGGCATAAATTTAAGAAAAAATGTGTGTTGTGCAAATGTTTTTCATCAGGTCATGTTTTCATTTATGTGTAAAAAGTGCACATTTTTGGGACACACATCTGAAAAATTCTGTATTTATTTAGTATTTGAGAAAACCAAACCTTCAGTTGGCTACACTACCAGTAAAAAATTTCCTTCAGTGTTTTTCATTGTGTTTACCGCTTTTAATGTTTTGAAAATGGTTGTTGTTGAGATTCTATTCATCACATCATTTTTTCATTTATATTTGGGACATGAATCTGAAACTCTGATGGAGTTAGGTTTAAATTTTTGCTTGTTTGGTGACATATTAAATGCAGTAAGTGTTATTTATTATGTGAGTAACTCAGATCTTAAACTTTTGACTGGTATTGTAATTAACTTAACTGAATGTTGTTTTTTTTCTTTCTAAAGCAAGAAAAATTATCTGATGAAGGGTTTTTGCCAAAACATTATTTTAAAAATTTTAAAAAAGCTTTTGGCCATCGGGCATCTGGGTGTGTTATACTTTTTTTTCTTTTTCCTTTTAACATTTTATATAGATATGGGAGACATCAGATAAATGACACAAGATATACAGAATTAGAAAGAAAGTTACGGAACTCAACTATATATATTTTTATATTTTAGATGCAAATCCTCAGTGTATCCACCTTTTACTTTACAGCACTGTGATATTTAATCAATTTAGAGTCAAATAGTTCAAAGAACGATTTTATAACACCAAGGGAAAAAGTATAAATCAAAATACCAAGTAAAAAAATCTAACAAAAAATAAAATAAAAACTAATTGTAATCAAATTATTTGTGTAATTTTGTAAAATATCAGTTTTTGCCTCTTTTATTTTTGTTTCACATCTTTCTCAGTTTTGCAGCTGAGTTTGAAGCTCCTGAAGCTGTTGTGGACGTTTCCTGTTGAAGTTTTGTTGCTCAGAGTTTTTCTTATATTCAGCGTTTTCAGGTGGACGGTTTTTCTGGAACAACCTGATTCTGTTTATGCAGTGGAAGTTCTGGACAAACAACAAACCGCCAAAACTACAACAGAAACGTCCACGACAGCTTCAGGAGCTCCAGGCTCAACTGTCAGTCAAATATAAATGAGCCAATGGAAATGAATCACGGAAACCCCGCCCACCTGTCACCAGAGTCAGGAAGGTGACTTTTAACATGTTTTCCCCTACAGATTACAGATTACACACACCAAAATGTAGTTTGTAACATAATACATTAAATTACTTAAAGTGAGTAATGTAATCTGATTACTTTGGATTATTTGATTTGCTGTAGAGAAACAAAGACGAGGAAATCTTCACATAAAATGTTTTGTCTGATAAAAGAAAATAAAAAAGTCCAGACTTTACTGAACCAAATTAAAAATATTATTGATACGAGGAGACACGTCCACACAGCAGGATTTAGTCCTGTTAAATCCTGGTGTTAGACCTGGTTTAGACCTGGTGTAGACCTGGTTTAGACCTGGTGTAGACCTGGTTTAGTCCTGGTTTAGACCTGGTTTAGACCTGGTTTAGTCCTGGTTTAGTCCTGGTTTAGTCCTGGTTTAGTCCTGGTTTAGTCCTGGTTTTAGACCCTGGTTTTAGTCCTGGTTTGAGACCTGGTTTAGACCTGGTTTTAGACCTGGTTTTAGACCTGGTTTTAGACCTGGTTTAAGACCTGGTTAAGTCTTGGTTAAGACCTGGGTTTAGAACTGGTTTAGACCTGGTTTAGTCCCTGGTTTGAGACCTGGTTTTAGACCTGGTTTTAGACCTGGTTTTGACCTGGTTTAGTTTAGACCTGGTTTTAGACCTGGTTTAAGACCTGGTTAAGTCTTGGTTAAGACCTGGGTTTAGAACTGGTTTAGACCTGGTTTAGACCTGGTTTAGACCTGGTTTAGACCTGGTTTAGAGTCCGGCAATGAGTGGAATTACCGAAAAAAAAAAAAAAAAAAAAGGGAATAGCCCAAAATGTGAAAACAGGAAAATCCCTCTGTGTAATCCATTTACTTCAACCAAGTAACTGTAATCCAATTACCACTCACTGAAACAGTAACTGTAACTGAATACAGTTACTCATCATTTGTACTCTGATTACATAACTCCAGTACATGTAATCTGTTACTCCCCGACACTGCCAAAACTGCACCAAAAAGTCAAACGAGAAGAATCAGAACAAAAGAAAAAACAAAACTGAGAAAAACATGGAACAAAAACAAAAAAAGGCAAAGACGAATATTTTACACAATTACACAAATAATTTGATTGCAATTTTATAGATTCTTTTATTTTATTAGTTTGATTTTTTTTATTTGGTATTTTGATTTATACTTTTTTGCTTGATGTTTTAAAAGTGTCTTTCAACTAAGGGTGGATATTTTAATTTGATTATTTATTTATTTTTTTAAATCTAAAACAGGTTTAGAGTTATTTTGAGTTTATTTTTTTGTTTCCTACACTCCAAACTGGGCCTTTCACAGTTTTTTGAAGCCTTCAGTGAAAATCTACAGTGGAAAGTGAAATGAGGAAACATGAAATTTAAAAACATCTGACCGGGAGTCTACATCCTACTTTAAATTGTGCCGCAGTTCATTTCTGTGTTAAACCTTGAACAACTCTTAGATAAACTTCCTTCTGAACGACATCGCAAACGTTAGTGTGTAGGAGCTTCTTTAAAAACACTTGAACATTTCTTGTTGTTACCACACGAAACTTTAGAAACTGATAAAAAAAAAAATAAAGATAAAAATCAGTGAAGTGTTTTCCTGACCTGGTGCACTCCTCCAGGTCGTACGTAAGCGGCGTGCATGCGGGCGCCGGAAACTCTCTCGTAAAACTCAAACATCTGAGAGAAAAACGGTAAAAAGAACATATTAGAACACTTCATGTTAGAGCGGATAGAGCGTTTATAAAAAGATCGTCTCACCTTCTCCCGCTCCTCGAACATCCAGAAGAACGGAGTCATGGCGCCGATGTCCAGGGCGTGGGTGGTGATGGCCATGATGTGGTTGAGGATACGGGTCAACTCTCCGTACAAAACTGCACAAAAACATAACACATAAATACACGAGGGATATACAATACACACGACCAGTCTAAAGTTTGGACACGCATAATATCTTTATTTTTACTATTTTCTAATAAGGAGGCACTTGTCACGTTTACATGAGAGCTTTAATTTCAAATAAAAATGATTTGATCCTGAATAAAAATTAAATCTGCTTTAAAAAGACCATGTAAAAGCTTAATTCCTAATGAAAATTTATTATTCGGAATTAAGTGGTGGTTTATTCAGTTTATTCATTATCAGAACAACCATAATTATACGTTATTTGTTATTTAAGTGTCACGGTTAATTCTTCTGGACATGTTTAAAATGTGAACTATCGACAGAATCCGATAAATCACAAGTCTAATCATGTATTCGTGCCGAACTGTTTCGATACGGGGAGCTGGGTTCTGTGCACGAGTGAATTCGAGTAATATGTGTGTGTGTTTAGCGTATTTTCCGGGCTATTACACGCGCGCTTAAGCCTCTAACCGCATCAAAAAAAGACTGCGCCCCACAATCCAGAGCGCCCCATACACGAATCCACTCGGGTGTCCCAGTACGACTTCAGTAAACTACAAAGCCGCAAACACGCACGGAGCAGACAGCGACCGCACAGCGAAACACACCCACAGACACACTCGTCACTCCACGCCGACGAGGAACGGAGGAACGAACCGAAAAAGCGAGCGCGACGTGCCGCTTCTAGACACGACTGAACAACCGAGTCACTGCGAACACGCCGACAATCCGTTGGTCCCAGACACACCCTCCCTACACGCCACAACTGAACAAAGCCCAGAGTCACCGTGAACGAACAAACAAACAAAACCACTCACCCATCACACTGTTGGGTTTCGTTTAAAGTCCCACGTGTTTATTTGTGAAAAAAGTTCAAAAACTGACCATTTAATGACAGTGCGTCTTATAATCCAGAGCGACTAATAGTGCAGAAAATACGGTACATAAAAACTACTCCATTACAGTAATGTGAGTGAATGTAATTTGTAACTTTGGACCCTTGTCTATCAGTTAGGGGTGTAACGATATCCAAGTCTCACGATACGATATCGTCACGGTACGATATTTATTGCGATATCGTGGGAAAGCTCATGATATTACACATAATAACTGAATGACATTACAAAATGCTTTGACCAACATTTGGTAAAACATGTATTGTCATATTCTAGGGATTTAAATATATCCAAATCTCACAGTACAGTCATATCACGATACGCATCTCACGGTACGATATTTATTGCGATATTTTGAAGAGCTAAAAATAAAAAATAATTAAAGTCCCACGCCGTTTATTTGTGAAAAAAGTTCGAAAATAGACCATTTAATGACAGTGCGTCTTATAATCCAGAGCGACTAATACCCCGGAAAATACAGTGTATTTCACCACTACATGTGCAGCTACATGGAGGCTCGGCTCTTTAATATTCACGAGGAACATGTCCGTGTTTCCCACAGAGCTTTATAGTTAGAGCGACCTCCTTGACCACGTCCCTCCGAACCACGTGAATCCTGCAAAACTAGCGTCGTCACTTTCGCCTTTCGCCGTTTTTTCTGGCCAAAATTATGAAGCTTGAGTAAAACTTCATGCTGGAACTGTTATTGCAGCTCTTTACTTTTTGAAAAGTTTTGTTTACTGTTTACAAGGAATTTTTTTTTTTTTTTTTACAATATTTCAAACATTTGTTGCTTATTTGAGAATATTTTATTTAAATTTTTAGTATTACCAAGCAGCACTTTATTTTATTTTCCTGTTTTTATAATGTTAAAACAAATTGTGGTAACACTTTATAATAACTACACCTTATTTAGCCTTAATAAAGCATGAACAAACTAAGACTTAATTAATAATGAACAAATACTTAACTAAGGGTCATTCAGGCTTAATAACTACTTAACTAATACCTTAATTAGCACTTAACTTGCACTTAATTAGCTTGTGCTGTAAATAGTTACTCATAATTATTTTATATTTATTTACCCATAAACTAACCACTTGTATGTGTATTATTTTATTTTATACTTACTTACCCATAAACTAACCACTTGTGTATTTGTAAATGCATATTTGTGAACAGATTTGAACATTTATTAATGATTAGTAAGCCATGAGAGAATGATTTACTAATACTGCAATGCAATGCTCATTCAAGCAGCTATGACCTGTTAAGTCTTTTCAAGAGCTTTTGTAAAGTGAAGACTAATTATGCTTTAATTAAGTATTTGTTCATTATTAATTAAGTCTTTGTTCATGCTTTATTGAGGCTAAATAAGGTGTAGTTATTATAAAGTGTTACCCAAATTGCTTTAATAAACACACAAATGGTTTCGCATTTTGTTCCCAAACTGAACTGAAAATGGACCGAACCATGACCTCAAAACCGAGGTACGAACCGAACTGTGATTTTTGTATCGTTACTCCCCTGTTAATCACTATGTCTTTGGTTGTCAGAAAAATTTTATCAGCCTTTTTTTTTCTCAATTTCTCCTCAAAACTACTGCTGGTCCCACCTCTGATCCACTGGGCGCGGGGCGGGGCCTGGATGTTGAGCAGCTTCTCCACGGCCAGAGAATAAGCCTCCTCGTTACACATCATGGACACGTAGTCGAGGCGGTCGAAGTACGGCAGGGCCTGAAGGACAAACAAAACAAAAAAAAAACAAGAAGTGAGATGACGAGGGACTTCTCAGAATGAACCAACTCGCCCTTTCTAAGATGAGACACTCATTCTGGAGAAATACGTGAAGCAGGATATAATGCCACTATGTCTTCACTTCTGCTCCTGAAAAGAGAAAACTGTTCTAAACTTCTAAGAAGAAACATTTACAATATACACAAATGTTACATACAGCTTTTCTTATTTCAAAATTCAACTTTTTCCATGTGACAAAGACTCATTTACACATGTTTGAAGTTTTTATGATCATTAAAAACAAACCTGGAGTTGTTTTTTGTTTCATTTACACGTTTAAACACACAAACCCTGCAGATTTAGGTGGAGTTCTTCTCTCAAACTGAAAACTCTCTTTTCCACCTTCACATTTGGATGATTTCAGACCTGGAATTGCCAAACTCAGCTCCTCTGTTCCTTTAAATAGTTCAGTCTTTTTTAAAGGATTTCCTTCTTCTTTTTTTTTTTTTTACCATACAAAAAAATGCAAACGCTGTCACATTTTAATTGGAAATCTGTCTGTATAATATTTGCACTTTCCAAATAAAAACTAAAAAATAGGGAGAAAATAGGGAGCTGCTAACTTGAAAACTACTACTTCATGACATCACAAGGTGGTGCCACAGGAACTTTAATGTAAAGACTCTAGAATGAAACATGTTGACGTAGAAAAAATAAATCATGTGAGGTGATAATGCCACTTTTTCTTCACTTTCACACCAGAAAATGTCAGATTTATCTTAAAAATGTTTGAGATTAAACTGTTTACAATAATCATAAATGTTGACAAAGTGGAAACAAAAAAGAAGCATGTTTTATGTGTAAAAATATTACGGATCGAACCGCTCTTACGTAAAAATCCATCAGTTTTTTCATATGATTTTAAAACTTTTTTTTTTTTTTTACTTTTTTTTAAAAAAGTAATTGGGATTTGAATTTATGTATTTATTTTATTGTTAAAAATGTCATTCAGTGCAACAGACATATTGTTAAGATTTAATTAAATTTAAACACATCATCAAGAGATCCGAGATATCTACAAATAAACAATAGGCCATTAAAAAAAATTTATTTTTTTTTTCTTAAAATTTTTGAAGAATTTCACAATTTGCCATAATACAGCATCAACTCTCAACTCTATTTGTTTTCATAAAATGATTAAATCATTTTCAAAACTGGATAAAACTCAAGCATGTCAGCACAAAATATATTTATGTCAAAACAAACTTATCTACCGTTTCAGAATGGACTGATATAATCAACGAAATTCATTATGGAATGAATAACATTTTCTTTAAGACACTCCTCAGACAAAGGAGAACTATATTGGAAAAAGTGGAAATCTTACAGTCAAAACAAAACTTAATGTAAAAATGTTTTTTACATCTTTGCAGATGTCACTAGCTCGATGGCCTCGTATTTTATTTCTATTTATTTTTTAATTTTTCCTTTTTTGGTCGGTCTTTTGATTTATTTTGTTTCACAATACTAATAATCTGTGTATGTAAATATGTGGTATGTGATATACATAACTAAAATGTCCTAATAAAAACAAAGTTTAAAAAAAAAAACAACAAAAAAAACTATCTGACACATTTCACTGAAACATCAGCGTTTCGCCAAATGACATCTGCATTATCTCCTAAAACACAGCAGGACTTTAAAGCTGCATTGTGTAACTTTTTGGTGGAGGGTTCGTCACCTGCTTGGTTCTATAGACGTGTCATTCCTCTGTCTGAAATGTTCCACAGTGTGACATTAAACAGCTCTACTTTACATTTATTTAATTACAGATGCAGGTTTTTTCGCTCAAAAATACAGAGAAAAACAAACATTCTGACTGTGAACGGAGTCGCCTCTCCACAGATCTGACCTGGAACTTGGTCTGGTTTGGTTTCCATAATGATAGAAAGGTTTAATGCCAAACTGTGAAACATTCCAGACAAAGCAATAAAATCTCTATCGCAAAAAGCATTTGACGACGCCTCCAGACCAGGAAAGTTACACGATGCTCCTTTAAAACCCACACATTTGTCAGACCCTGTCGCTTTAAACCGTGAGTTCTGTCTGTTACCTGCAGGTACGTCTTGTACTCGATGAGTTTCTCGGTGCCGCGGTGCAGGAGGCCGATGTGGGGGTCACACTTCTTGACCGACTCCCCGCTCAGCTCCATGACGAGCCGCAGGACCCCGTGAGCCGCCGGGTGCTGGGGCCCGAAGTTTATGGTCAGGTTGGACACGTCTTTCTCAGCGGGAGGGTCCACGTCTGAGGGGACAAAAAGGTTTCACGTTAAACACACTCACTGAAACGGAGTGTTATTGTTTTGTTTCCATTTGTATTATTGTGAGCTGGGTCACCTCTCCATAGATCTGATCTGTAACTTTACACAGGGCACCATTAAGTTTCAATATTTCACTAATTTCAAACTCAGAAGATAAAGCAGGACTGGGCATCAGGTGAAAAAACGTGAAAACGCTGCACATCCTGAAAGATGAAAAGGACGAGCTCTTCACAATGCTTGGAAAAAAAAAAAAAAAAGAGTCGTGGGGCTTGAGCAGGACGCCCAAATGAACGATGTCATTGTCTCCGGGCTCCAACCTCGTCCTATGCTCGAGTGACGGCCTCACACAACAGAGAGGAGGAGTCAGCGAGTAAGACGTGCGCTCCACATAGTCGCAGGGATCAAGATGGACACAAACGGGACTGAAACCTGCCGCCCACTGACCAGAAAAAACTCATCTGAGATCCGCAGTGATGATGACGTTTGTTTTATGTAGTGCAGGCTACCATTATTACCGTTATTGAACACAGCAGCAACACAATTTCTTTTAGTTTGTTTTTGAATAGTGAAGATGGGGGTTAAAGGTTGTATGGAGGATTTTTTTTTTTGTTTGTTTCAAATTGTCAATGAAAGTTTAAAATACCATTACAGAGACGCAGCAGCCTTGTAATTATGATGGCCAAAAAACAAAAAAAAGAATGAAAATCTATCAACTGTGGAGGTGTTGAGGCCAGATAAACATCAGCCAATAGAAAACAAGGCTGCCTCATTTTCTATTGGCTGTTAGGTTGTCAATCAAACACCCTAGTGTAACTGACTCGTCGGCGCGCTGGGATTACGTGGTTTATGCAGCGGTTCTTAAGAGGCTTTTTTCTAATTGTAGCTTCTTTGCAGTTCGCACAAAGTTTGTTGCGATGGCGGACGAGAATCCACGACCAGCTCGCCGCAAAAGAAAGTCAAATTTTGAGGTTGCTGAAAAAAGAAGAGAAGGGGAAAAGGAGCAAAGACAAACTGAGGTTATTCCTGGAGATCCCTTCCAGCGATGGCGCGACTGAAGCAGACGAAAGGTCTAAAAACGGATGCATCGTTCGCTAAATTATTTCTAGACAGGTCACTTCAACAGTAATTCTGAACGCGCACTGGATATAAACAAACGTGATTTCCAGAGTAAAGAGGCGGGAGGAGCTGTGGAGGAGGAAGGTGGTGTCACACATGCACAACATTTGAAAAAAGACGGTCGCTGTATTTCTCTTCCCTTAAAAAATCCTCTATACAACCTTTAAATTGTGCATCCTGTCCAGTTCCTTTCACAATAAAACATATCCAGTTTACCAAATTAAAACCACATTTATAAGAAATTTAGTGTAAGGTTTTTAGTTGCTTTCAATTCATATTCCAGTCTTTCCCAAAACGTTTTATAGTTAAAGCGGTCGCCATGACAACGAGTGGCCCCCGCACCACATGAATCGTCACAAAACTATGGTCGTCGTGTGCACTAGGGACGGGCATTCGATGAAATTTTCTTAATCGATCGTCGGAAGAATTAACGATCGATTATCGATTAATCATTAACGTGTTTATATTAAAATGATCATCATTATTATTACTATCTGCACTAATCTGCATAAATAAATTCAACTTTACGACATATAAACATAACGATTCTAGAGCCACATCAATCTGTTTGACATTATAATGTGTTTAACGCAGTTTTGCGCAACTCTCACAAAAACGAAACTTAAAACCGCATCGCTAATTTGCAGAAACTAAGCGAAGATAAAACTCCAGCTCTTGTGTCGCTGATGTGGTTCAACTTGTGTTGGATTAAAAGACATGACTCAGGTGAATACAGGTTAGTGTGACCAGATTTGTGTTTGTCAAAACCAGGACACCGTACGGGGGGAGGGAGGTGGGGCCTCGTCATCCACATTGCGCGACTCTCACCTGGCAAAACTTTTTCCCACTGGACACCGAAACATATGTGCTGCTTTGTACACTGTGCACATGGACTCACACTTGTCCCGAACGCAACGGAATTTCTTGTACAAAGTCATCGTTAAATACGCATTTGCGTTGCAGACTGACCGACTGTTTGTGTTTGCTCGCTCCTTCTGAGTGCAGAGCTACATGTACGGACCCCTGTTTGGTCACGCTACGCACAGCAACCTACATTCGGTTTGTCACTTAAAATGAACGTAATCGATGAAATTCTTAATGATCAATTATCGATTAATCATGCCCATCCCTAGTGTGCACCCTCCCGCTCCTCTTCGTGAATGGATTTTTCTACTTTTCTTCACAAATAGCTTCTTGATTGGTGTAAAACTGTAATTTATATTTACAACAGGTATTACCCCAACAAATAAAGTCTAAAATTTTAGAATCTTATAACCCTGTCATATGCACTTTAAACACTTAGCAGTCATTGGTGCCTTGTTGTTCCAGTTGGTTTTCTTCTCAGAGAAATGCAGGTTTTTAAATCTAAGTCTTGTTCACAGAGCGGTCCGAGATTTCCCGTTAGACTAAACAGACAAATCAAAAGCCGATACCGTTCCATGGAGGAGGATTCCACTTCTCGTTCAGAGCCGTGGGATACATGACCGCTCCGGCGAACTGCTCCGTCCACTCCACATCGGGCTGCCACTGCTTCTGCCTGAACACAAACAACACAAACAACAACTCATAAAACACAAATACTCACTACTGGGAATACAGACAGAACAAAGTAAAGGTCGTCACACACTACAGGATTTTTCTGTTTTGCTGTTTGGCGATTTTTAAACGTGTCCGCGGATCACAGCATTGAAAGCTGTGAGCGTGATCTCGTCTCTAGTAAAACCAGTCGCTCCGAGACTCTGAAGTGTTCAAAAGATCAGATTCTGCACTTCTAGTTTAGACACTGGTTCAGTACTGGTTTAGTCTTTGTTTAGTCCCGGTTTAGATCTAGTTTAATCGTGAGGTTAGTTAGGTTTAGTCCAGGTTTAGACCCGGTTTAGACCCGGTTCAGTCCCTAGTTTAGTCCTGGTTCAGTCTCAGTTCAGTCCTGGATTAAATCCAGGTTCAGACCTGGTTCAGTCCCGGTCTAGTCCCGGTCTAGTCCCTCGTTTAGTCCCTCGTTTAGTCCCTCGTTTAGTCCAGGTTCACACCTAGTTCAGTTCCTGGTTCAGTCCCCAGTTTAGTCCAGGTTTAGTCCAGGTTTAGTCCAGGTTTAGTCCAGGTTTAGTCCAGATTTAGTCCTAGATTAGTCCTAGATTAGTCCTGCTTTAGTCCTGTTTTAGACCAGGTTTAATCCTGGTTTAGTCAAGGTTTAATCCTGCTTTAGACCTGGTTTAGACCTGGTTTAGAGCTTGTTTAGTCCTGGTTTAGTCCCGGTCTAGTCCTGGTCTGTTCACCTTAAACCTGTTTTGATTTTGTAAGAGAATTTGACCTGCAGCCAACTTGTAAACAAACTCTCATCTCTATCTTATAAACAGCGAAGAAATATTATTTTAAAAAAATCTTATAAATCTAACATCGTGCAGTAAAGTCAGATCGCGTCTAAAACTAAATAATTTCATCTTTAATCTCTTCAGGTCTCGATGTTTTTACAAATCTCCTGCGGGCGCATTAGCACGCCGGCTAGTGTCGCGTTAGCACCGGGGAGACAGACGCAATGACAGGCGCGTTAAAAAGCTCCAAACCCCTCGGACGCGTCGGGTTTAAGTTTGTTGTGCGGTACCGGTTCTGGAGCGCGGTGCAGCCCGGGGAGATGAAGCCGCCGCGGGACAGGAGTTTGGCTGAAGGACGTCGGAGCCTGCACAGCGACCTCAGCATCGTGGCCGCCATCTTGGCTCAAACTGCGGTGACGTAAACGGCTTCTTCTCACATCACGGCGAGAACAGTAAGAGAGTGAGAGCGCCGCCCCGCAGGATCGTGGTGGTATTACATGTGCGCAGGGATCAACGAAGCAGGGGACTAAACCGAGGACTAAACTAGGACTAAACCAGGACTAAACCAGGACTAAACCAGGACTAAACCAGGACTAAACCAGGACTAAACTAGGACTAAGCCAGGACTAAACCAGCACTGAACCAGGACTAAACCAGGACTAAACCAGGACTAAACTAGGACTAAACCAGGACTAAACTGGGACTAAACCAGGTCTGAACTAGGACTAAACCAGGACTAAACTAGGACTAAGCCAGGACTAAACCAGCACTGAACCAGGACTAAACTAGGACTAAACTGGGACTAAACCAGGTCTGAACTAGGACTAAACCAGGACTAAACTAGGACTAAACCAGGACTAAACCTGGACTAAACTAGGACTAAGCCAGGACTAACACCAGCACTGAACCAGGACTAAACTAGGACTAAACTGGGACTAAACCAGGTCTAAACTAGGACTAAACCAGGACTGAACTAGGACTAAACCAGGACTAAACCTGGGCTAAACCAGGACTAAACCTGGACTAAACTAGGATTAAATCAGGTCTGAACCAGGACTAAACCAGGCCTAAACCAGGACTAAACCAGGTCTATACCAGGACTAATCCAGGACTAAACCAGGCCTAAACCAGAACTAAACCAAGACTAAACCAGGCCTAAACCAGGACTAAACCAGGTCTATACCAGGACTAATCCAGGACTAAACCAGGCCTAAACCAGAACTAAACCAGGACTAAACTAGGACTAAACTAGAATTAAACCAGGTCTAAAACCAGGACTAAACCGGGACTAATCCTGCACTAAACTAGGACTAAACCTGGACTAAACCAGGACTAAACCAAGACTTAACCAGGACTTAACCAGGATTTAACTAGGGCTAAACCAGGACTAATCAAGGACTAAACTAGGACTAAACATGAGCTAAACCAGGACTAAACCTGGACTAAACCTGGACTAAACTAGGACTAAATCAGGTCGGTCTGAACCAGGACTAAACCAGGAACTAAACCAAGTCTATTTCAGGACTAAACTGAGCTAAAATTGTGTGAACTATGAGGTGTGCAAAATATATCGCGATATTAATTAGGTGTTTTTATTTTTTTTCGATGTGCGTGTATCGTACGGAGTCGTGAGGAATTCCCAGGTGACCGTGAACGCACCTTAAATCTAAAATATAACTTGATGCTTTTGGAGAGAATAAAGTTTGCGATGATGTGCTTCAGATGTTTTTTCTTCTTTATTTCAATTTTGTGAAGTTATTTATTATGATGCATTGTTGGGCATTCTGATTAAAGTTATACTACGTAATTTTCCTGGCTTGTCTCCGTGGTTACTGCTTTGCTTGGACTGTTTTGTAAGTGTGTGTTGTTGCGTCACCTTTCCAGTGATCTGACCTCAGTGAAATGTAACGCGGCCCTATGGCTCCACCTGCTGGTCTCCATGGAGATAGACATGTTTGATGCCACACTGTGGAGCATTTCAGGCGACGCAATAACGTCTGTATGGAAATAATAAACTTATTGAAGACCTCCCATCTGAAAAGTGACACAGTGAACCTTTAAAATCACTATATTCTTGTTATTTTGAAGAGAGAAGATTTGAAATTCCAACTCCAATTGAGTCTTTGTACAAATCACCAAATCCAGGACTTTCAAACGTCGTGGATCAGGTCAACAGACTGTGTGTCAGGGCCCGGTGTGTGTGTCAGGGCCCGGTGTGTGTGTCAGGGCCCGGTGTGTCTTAGGGCCGAGTGTGTGTTAGGGTCCGGTGTGTGTCTGGGCTCGGTGTGTGTCAGGGCCCGGTTGTTTCATTTTTACAGTGTAAAATGTAACATTTTGTTGAAGAAAGAGCAACAGGTTTAATAAAAAAACAGTGCTTTTATTTATGTAATACTGTGGAAAAATAATTACATACCATTTTTAAAAAATATTGAAGATAATGAAATAAAAAAATGAGAGTTTGATAACGCTTGTTGTACATCTTTTGAACAGTTTCTCTGCTACGAAGAACAGTACGATAAGATAAGCATTAGAGTCGTTCTAAATTCAAAGACACAATAATACAGGATACATCCTACCAGAGGTATTATAAAAGTATAGAACAGGAGTGACAAATGATATGACAGTTTACTGAAGCTGCACACACACGTGCACACACACACATGTGCACACACACACTCGTGCACACTCACACTCACACAGGCAGCACACTGCACGCGCTCAGAAGAGACACAGGGCAGTGTGCAGAGTACAAATGTCTATGACAGTACAGGCTGTACAGAGGAGCAAACAGCCCCATACACACACTCACACACACATGTACACACACACTCCTCAGACACACACACACTCCTCAGACACACACTCAACATACAAACATACACACAACACACACACACCCATACCCATACACACACATGCACACACTCCTGACACAAGTACATATGCACACACATACAGACACAAACACACCCATACACATATACACACACACTCCTCAGACACACACACGTACACACACACTCCTCACACACACACATACACACACACACTCCTCAGACACATATACACACACACTCCTCACACACACACACACACACACTCCTCACACACACACATACACACACACACTCCTCAGACACATACACACACATTCCTCAGACACACACACGTACACACACACACGGGTCAATATAGTGACAGCCTTCATTGAACCTCTGGTGACTCTGGCCCCACACAGACGATGTGGATGACGATGGCGATGTGGTCATGTGGTCATGTGGTCATGTGTCGATGTGTCGATGTGTCGATGGCTCATGGACATGTCTCCTAAGGCCTCTGTCCTCTGCTCCAGGCTCGTGAATGATCAAGGCCCCACAGCGCCTGGTCGCCGTGGTAACAGGGCCCTACAGGAGTCTACTGCATATACACACGTCTGAGGTGAAACTACATGGACTCTTGGCACTAGGTTCTGTGGACGCTCGAAGCCTCGGGGTAAAGCGCCGCCCGCGGGCGGCTGTTGGCACCTCAGTGAACGACGGGCCGGGCCTCGGAGCGCACCACCTCCACGTTTGGTCCAGACACACGTAAATGTTTACATAGATAAAAATAATTTGTAATGTTAAAAATAGAATACAAAGCTCTAATCTTGTGTGCAAATAAAAAGACATTACACAGATATACGGACGCCTAAGCATGAATACTGTCGATGCAGTGCAAAAGATGACCCCCCCTCCCCCCTCGCGGTCCACGGGCACACGCCCTCTGGACTCGGGTATGTGCTCTACGTCAGACACCCCAAACTAACTCAAAATGGTGGCCAGACGTGACGTGGACTGTTGAGGTTTCTCCAGATCTGTATGTACCATACTGACAGGTCTCTTCATGTACAATGGCCCCTCACACAGGGGCCTCGGGTCCCTCGGGTCCCTCGGGTCCCTCTGCTCTGTCCTGATTGTGACGCGCTGTCCGCTCTGCAGAGCTCACATTTACACTGGGAGAGACTTTGTCCCTCCCTGTCTCATAAGTCATGTCTCTGTGTCCTCGCTCAGTCTGTGCATGGCTCTGTATGTAACACTGTGGGTGTGTGTGTGTGTGTCTGAGGTGTGTGTGTCTGAGGTGTGTGTGTCTGTGTGTGTCTGTGTGTGTGTCTGTGTGTGTGTTTGTGGCGTGTGCTGATGCCCCCTGCTGGCCTCACACGTGCGTCTGCATCCTCTGCGTGTGGCGGCTGTGGGAGTAGTCGGAGTGCTGGGACGTGTAGGAGAAGCGTGTGGAGCTGCCGTATTTGCCCAGTCCAGTGTCGGGGCCCGATGGAGCGGGGGCCCCGGGGGACACGCTGACCGCGGGCGTGCTCACTCCGTACATCTCGTAGGAGGGGCCGGCCTCCAGAGGGGCCAGGCTGGACGGGGCGAAGCCCATGCGGTAGGGTTGGTAGTGGGAGGGGTATCCGTAGTTGTCGTAGGCCAGCTGCGAGGTGGAGTCCAGCAGGCTGCAGTCGGGGGGGAAGTCCGCCGCCGAGGGCCCCGGGTTGGAGGGGCCCTGCTGGCTCTGGCCCCCGCGGGTGAAGGTGTTGAACTGGGCGTAGCTGATGTGGGACAGCCTGGAGGGGGGCCGGGGGTCGTAGCAGGGCTGAGGACGTCCCGGGGAGGTGAGGGGTCCAGGGGCCCCTCCGCTGGCCGTGGCCCCCGAGCCCCCGGCGCTGCTGCTGATGGAGGCGGCGCCCCCCGGCGTCCCCGTGGGCGAGCGGTAGTCAGAGTAGTGCACGGTGGAGCGGGACGCGGGCCGGCCCTCGTCGTGAGTGGACGCTCGCACGTTGTAGTAACCGTTAGTCGGATCCTGTGAGAGACAGAGACACAAATATGAGTCCAGAGTGAGACAGAGGGACAATCATGAGTCCAGAGTGAGACAGAGGGACAATCATGAGTCCAGTTACAGACAGAGGGACAATCATGAGTCCAGTGTGAGACAGAGGGACAATCATGAGTCCAGAGTGAGACAGAGGGACAATCATGAGTCCAGAGTGAGACAGAGGGACAATCATGAGTCCAGAGTGAGACAGAGGGACAATCATGAGTCCAGTGTGAGACAGAGGGACAATCATGAGTCCAGAGTGAGACAGAGGGACAATCATGAGTCATGAGTCCAGAGTGAGACAGAGGGACAATCATGAGAGTCCAGAGTGAGACAGAGGGACAATCATCATGAGTCCAGTGACAGACAGAGGGACAATCATGAGTCCAGTCTGAAACAGAGGGACAATCATGAGTCCAGAGTGAGACAGAGACACAAATATGAGTCCAGTGTGAGACAGAGGGACAATCATGAGTCCAGTGTGAGACAGAGGGACAATCATGAGTCCAGAGTGAGACAGAGGGACAATCATGAGTCCAGAGTGAGACAGAGGGACAATCATGAGTCCAGTGTGAGACAGAGGGACAATCATGAGTCCAGAGTGAGACAGAGGGACAATCATGAGTCCAGAGTGAGACAGAGGGACAATCATGAGTCCAGAGTGAGACAGAGGGACAATCATGAGTCCAGTTTGTATTCATAGAGTTACTGTAAATGTAAAATGTCCCAGCAAATTTTAATTATTTTAACTTTTAATTATTATTTAAAAGGTGAAATTTTATATTGAATGTTTTGAAAATGTACGCTTCAAAAATCAGCAACTAAAATTCACAATAAAAAGAATTCAAACATGTTTTTTCAGAGTTAAAAAATTCAAAGTGATAAATTCAGAGGCGTTTGAAACTCAAAATCTGATTAAACAAATTATCTTCCATATCAGCTGAGCTCACTGTGTCGACATTAACCGGTCAATCATGCACAAAATGAGCTGCATTATGCATTTTCACAATTTCTTTTGTTATTTTGCCACTACTTGCCATTTTTATGACAAACATAAAACAAACTACAGCTCGGCTTTGCTCTGTAAAAGTCACATTATCAAAATTAAAATTATTGCTCTTTATGAAACAAACTGAATTATTTAAAGAGCGTTATAAAAAAAAAAAAAAAAACAGAATCGGCCGTTCTTTGTCCGAGATGCAGTTTTGAATTCGACCACCAGAGGGAAGACTTGCACTTTCAATAAAAGGACGAGGAGAGCAAGAAAAATAAACTCGATAAGAAAATGTAAACAAAAACATTCTAAATATGCGATTTCAGTGGAAAAACTGGGATTAACTTCAGAAAACCACAAATTATGAAAAATCCATCGAAATTTGGCCAATAAAAACACTTAAAGACCCAATAGAGTGACATTGGAGCCCAGTTTAAAAACATTTACAGTGGTGTTTTACGTTACTTGTTGATTTAAAAAGAGATTATGATAGACATTAAGGATATCTGACAAAGGAAAGATCCAGATTTTTAAGTTTTACGGGACAAATCGTCAAAGAAAAGTCAAGTCCACTACAGTTTTGTCATAAATTATACTTTTTTTTAAGATAAAATACAACATTTGAGGTTAGAAAACTGTATTTTTTCTGTCTTTCTTAACAGAAAAGCAAAGTAACGAATATTTGTACCTTGGAAATTCAAAATTGTTGTTTATTTTTTTGTTAAACCATCAGAATTTAGATCTGTTAAAATCAGGTTATCACTGAAAATATAATCTGTCTGTTTCACTTTGGCTCCAGTCGACTCCATTACAGAATTTTGAATATTCTGGTAGACTTGGTTTAGACCTGGTTTAGACCTGGGTTTAGTCCTGGTTCAGCTTTGGTTTAGACCTGATTTGGACCTCGTTTAGACCTGGTTTAGACCTGGCTCAGTCCTGGTTTAGTCCTGGTTTAGACCTGGATAAATCCTGGTTTAGTCCTGGTTTAGACCTGGTTTAGACCTGGATTAATCCTGGTTTAGACCTGGTTTAGTCCTGGTTTAGACCTAGTTTAGACCTGGTTTATTTTCTCTCACTAATAATGTGAAAAACTTTACCTTAGACCACGGAACGGCTAACGGCTGAGAGCTAACGGCTGAGAGCTAACGGCTGAGAGCTAACGGCTGAGAGTTAACGGCTGAGAGCTAACGGCTGAGAGCTAACGGCTGAGAGCTAACGGCTGAGAGCTAACGGCTGAGAGCTAACGGCTGAGAGCTAACGGCTGAGAGCTAACCAAGCCCCCAGGTTCCAAAATGGCCGCCCATTCAAGTCAATGGCCCGAGCTCAATGGCGCATGATCCTAGATTAGCCTTTAGCCCGGCTAGGTACTTCCGTTGGCCGTGGGCCGACCGAGCATGCGCAGTAGTGTTCTTTTGTCCCGCAGGAACATGCGAATGCACGCAAACGCACGCACGGTGCGCGGGTTCGTGTATCACGTGATTTCTTTGACCAATCAGAGCGAGAGGAGCTAGAGCGGAGCCGGAGCTAATGATTATAAAGCGTTTGTTAAGACAACTGAAGGATTTTGAGCTGAGAAAAAGTTTATGATCTAAAAATAGGTAAAAATCGCCACAAAATCTGACATTTTTGAAAGTTGTAGGTCCCTGTCAGCCCAACACGAGCAGTTTGTGATTAAATTGCCTCTATGAAAAAAATCTTGTCTCGGCCCATGGGATTTTTTACGCTGTAGAACCAGTGAGTGTCACTACGTCAACTGGAGGCAGCTACAAGCAACAACACTGTGTCCAGTTATTTTAATAGATCCATGGAGCTAACGGCTAAGAGCTAACGGCTAAGAGCTAACGGCTAAGAGCTAAAGGCTAAGAGCTAACGGCTAAGAGCTAAAGGCTAAGAGCTAACGGCTAAGAGCTAACGGCGGCGTCTCTCGGTCAGTGTCTCTCGGTTAGTGTCTCTCGGTCGGTCGTCTCTCGGTCAGTGTCTCTCGGTCAGTGTCTCTCGGTCAGTGTCTCTCGGTCAGTGTCTCTCGGTCAGTGTCTCTCGTTTGTCGTCTCTCGGTCGTCGGCTCTCTCGGTCAGTGTCTCTCGGTCAGTGTCTCTCAGTTAGTGTCTCTCGGTTAGTGTCTCTCGGTTAATGTCTCTCGGTTATCGTTTCTCGGTCAGTGTCTCTCGGTCAGTGTCTCTCGGTCAGTGTCTCTCGGTCAGTGTCTCTCGGTCAGTGTCTCTCGGTAGTGTCTCTCGGTCAGTGTCTCTCGGTCAGTGTCTCTCGGTCAGTGTCTCTCGGTCAGTGTCTCTCGGTCAGTGTCTCTCGGTCAGTGTCTCTCGGTCTCTCTCGGTCAGTGTCTCTCGGTCAGTGTCTCTCGGTCAGTGTCTCTCGGTCAGTGTCTCTCGGTCAGTGTCTCTCGGTCAGTGTCTCTCGGTCAGTGTCTCTCGGTCAGTGTCTCTCGGTTATCTCTCGGTCAGTGTCTCTCGGTCAGTGTCTCTCGGTCTCTCTCGGTCAGTGTCTCTCGGTCAGTGTCTCTCGGTTAATGTCTCTCGGTCAGTGTCTCTCGGTCAGTGTCTCTCGGTCAGTGTCTCTCGGTCAGTGTCTCTCGGTCTATCTCTCGGTCTCTCGGTCTCTCGGTCAGTCTCTCGGTCAAGTGTCTCTCGGTCAGTGTCTCTCGGTCAGTCTCTCGGTCTCTCGGTCAGTGTCTCTCGGTCTCTCTCGGTCAGTGTCTCTCGGTCAGTCTCTCGGTCAGTGTCTCTCGGTTAGTGTCTCTCGGTTAGTGTCTCTCGGTCAGTGTCTCTCGGTCAGTGTCTCTCGGTCAGTGTCTCTCGGTCAGTGTCTCTCGGTCGGTCAGTGTCGGTCTCTCGGTCAGTGTCTCTCGTCAGTGTCAGTGTCTCTCGGTCTAGTGTCTCTCGGTCAGTGTCTCTCGGTCAGTGTCTCTCGGTCTCTCGGTCAGTGTCTCTCGGTCAGTGTCTCTCGTGTCTCTCTCGGTTCAGTGTCTCTCGGTCTCTCTCGGTCAGTGTCTCTCGGTCAGTGTCTCTCGGTTATCGTCTCTCGGTCAGTGTCTCTCGGTCAGTGTCTCTCGGTTAGTGTCTCTCGGTCGGTCAGTGTCTCTCGGTCAGTGTCTCTCGGTCTCTCTCAGTGTCTCTCGGTCAGTGTCTCTCGGTCTCAGTGTCGTCTCTCAGTCTCTCGGTCAGTGTCTCTCGGTCAGTGTCTCTCGGTCAGTGTCTCTCGGTCAGTGTCTCTCGGTCAGTGTCTCTCGGTCAGTGTCTCTCGGTCAGTGTCTCTCGGTCAGTGTCTCTCGGTCGGCGTCTCACCTTGAGGTCGTACTCCTGGCGCGTGTCCAGCGTGTCGGTGCGCAGCTCGCTCTTCAGCTCCATGTCGTCTTTGAACGGCTGGTTGGAGGGAGAGAAGGACACAGAGGGCAGAAACTGAGGCGTCAAAACAAAAGCAAAACGAAACGAAAAGAAAAGAAACGAAACAAAACAAACAGAAAACAGTGAACAAAAAAGAGGTGTGAGAGGACAAGAGAACAAGAGCCCGTTAGAACGACAAAGAAATGTTTTAGTCAAAGTTATAGACACAAGTAGAAGTTAAACCACAGAACTTTAATAAAATCTGAAGGTGAACCCAACATGTCGTCGTGTTGTTTTCAGTGGCCAGTAATAAGTAGTTTATTAATGAGTAAATTTATTAACTCTAGACTAGATCTAACCGATCGATTCCCAAGATCGAGGATTTAAAGCCGGAACAAAGGGAAAGACGTTAATCCGTGTTTCATTCATTCGTTTGTTTTTCAAAATAAAACCAAAAATAAGAAAATGAAAAAACAACAGTTTTCTTCATTATTTGTCTCCAAAACCAAAGTGAAAAAAACAGATAATGATTTGTTTTTTCAGTTCTATTTTTTGTGTTAAAATGAAGAATGGAAAAAAACAGATAAAGGCCGTTTCCTGTTTACGTGACTTCAGTGACTGTGATGTCGGACTTTTGCACCGTATACGGACTGAACCAGGACTGATCCAGGTCCAGGACCACACCGGGACCAGAGCGGGACCAGACCAGGACCAGAGCGGGACCAGAGCGGGACCAGACCAGAGCGAGACCAGAGCGAGACCAGAGAGGACTCCTAGTTTTGACTCCGAGCCTCCGCTTGGTCTGAGCCTCAGCTCCGAGCTCCAGCCCTGCTGTGGGCTCTGAGCCTCCAGTCTGGTCCCAGCCTGGTCTCAGTCTCAGTCCCGGCCTGGTACCGGTCTCAGTCCCGGTCTGGTCCTGGCCTGGTACCAGTCTCAGTCCCGGTCTGGTCCCAGCCTGGTACCAGTCTCAGTCCCGGCCTGGTCTGGGTCTCAGTCCCGGTCTCAGTCCCGGTCTTGGTCCCGGTCTGTTCCCTCACCTGGTTCAGTCCATATGCGGTGCAAAAGTCCAACATCACAGTCACAGAAGACACATAAATGTCCGTTATCCTTTTTTTCCATTTTTCATTTAAACACAAAATCGAAAACTGAAAAAACAAATCATTATCTGTTTTTTTCATTTTGGTTTTGGAGACAAATAATGAAGAAAATTGTTGTTTTTTTCGTTTTCTTATTTTTGGTTTTATATTGAAAAACAGATGAACGAATGACACACGGACTGTGAATGACACTTCTTCCTACAGGAAAGCTTAATATACCAGTTAATATTCCCGCCTACCGTCGAGCGAACGAATCCTAAAGCTGAGAGGTCAGACGGTTTCCACAAACTGAAACCGTCTGATGAATCAGGTTAGGAGATATTAGCAGAGACAGATAAGATTTGTGCAGTTCACAGATCACACGTCTCGCATTTAAACTGCACAAATCTATCTATGCAAATATCGATTTTTATATTTAATTCTAGAATCAGTCTGAGTTCACAAGTTACTCATGTTTTATTCATGACCATAAGGTTAGTTTCGCTCAGTAGTTCACTAATGCTCGTCGACGGAACCACTGCGAATAGCGAGTTTCAGCTGACGTCATTGTTATTAAAAGCCCGCGCTTGCTGCTGGGAAATATTTTGGTCGGAGGCAAGAAACACGGTAGCGTCAAACACAGTGCGTAACCTCGCGTATTTATCCCCGATAATGGTAAATTCCTGCTGCATTATCGGACGCACAAATAGAAGCACGGAAGAAGGAAAATGTCTTTTTCGTATTCTGAGATCCCCAGACGCTGAGAC